TTATTGCCTTCAACATGTTTAATGAAGATTAATAGCCAATGTTCACGGGAGACAATCTAGGGTAACCCTAGTACTACATTAATTTGTTTAAATTTTGATGAGGATTTGCGACAAATCTTTTAAACACCTCAAGGAAAAACTCCATCATCAATCCACCCTCAGTTTTCTCTGACTTCTCTCTTCTTTTCATCTAGAAAATATCATATAAACCTCCAATTCGTTTTATATTTGAATTTGGGAGTTTCTTCCTCTTCCTTCTTGGTAAGTTCTTGAAGTTTAATTCTCCATTTCCTCAGTGATATTCTAGTTTCTTACTTCTGAGAGGATTTGTTTATGATGTTTAGGAAGAACTCAACTCTTGAGCACGATCCTTCTTAAACCTTAATCTAGATTGCATGTGTGTGTGTGTGTGTTTTGGTTGATAAAATATATTGTTGTTTGGTACAATATGTGTTTTTGTTTTGGATAAATTAAGTTTTACATAGTATGAAATATGTACGATATTGGACTGCGTCCAAAGGTATTCGATGTTCGGCATTGTTAATTGATATATGTCATAAAACTGAATATGAACAAGATAAAAAGGATAGTAAATATGATGTTAGGAATAAAAAATTAGTATCATGATGAGAAGTGAGAAAAAGAGTAAAGTACGATAGAATAAGTGATATGGACAAATATGGATAGTTTGGTATACTGCGAGTGTGGAAGATCGAGGCAATTCTAAGAATCTTGGGAAAATAAGGGTTGTGGATGTTTTTCTTTAATTTGTACACAACTAATGAGAGTAAGAATACCATAGGCCTCATACTTATTTCCTTACTTAAACTCTTGACTATATTTTTGTTAAAAAAGACTAAGTTGGCACATGTTGTATTCGTGTAGCTACGACTATCCAATAATTATCTGTATTAAGGAAGATATCAAGGGATCTCAGAGGCATTGAATGATTGAGACGAAGAAATTTAGGACTTATTATATGACTGAGATTATCTTGAAATGTAACTGTATTTTCTATCTGATTAGTATGTTATTTATGTATGTGTGATTTGTTATGAATGTTAATTATATATGGTAATGTGAAAATATGCTCATCCTTATCATAAACATTTCAAGAAACCAGGATGGCAATTGCATAGACAAGGATTAGTTTAGTAAATTATGTTGCTTGTAATAGATTAAATTATGTTTTAGAGAATATCATAGACTTGTTTAGTTTCATTTTAATATAGATTTTGTGGATGAACAATTATGTACCATAGAGATAATCTTAAACTATGATGTACCCTTCGACTTTCCAGTAAATAGTAGAATTCATTGTATACTTAGCTTTTATGTTTATCGAGGCGTTGTAAGGCCTTCTAGACTTGTAAATAATACATTTACCTATCATGACCATGACCTTTAAGGAAGACCTATTCGTTGGACCTCTGAGAGCTTTTCCAGTATAGAAGTGGTGGCAAATCCCAAAGATGCATATCTTGGAGAAGACGATGAGCTGACGGTTGAAGATATCACTTATATAAAGGGTTGGAATAGTGGGAGTGACTAGTATTATGCCCAGTTTCTTCTGGTTATAGGATTGTAACTGCTTATAGAGTTTACTATATTTTGTCTGCTTATAGAGTTTACTATATTTTGTTATGTAAATATTTCTTTAAATCCTATCACTTTTGTTTAACAGTTGTAAATTAATATTGTATGCATATGTATGTGACACTTATAATTGTTCTCCATCTTTAATGAAATATACTTATTATGTTATATTCTATTTCATTCGTTCGTCGCATGAGACAAAGTTTTAGGAAAAGGATTTATACACAAAAAAAAGTTTGAATTTTCTCTCATTTCAAGATTTGTTTGGAACGAAATTTATTTAATTATTTTCAATAAAATACAAAAGATTGCATATATTAGGAATGAAAATATATGATGTTTCATTTTAATTCTTGTTGTTAATACTGGATTATTTGTTGTTTAGGTAAGAAATTATCAATCAATTAATTTATCTTAAAATCTTGAGTAAGAAGAATCTAATGAGTAAATATAATAAAAATACATCATAAAACTTTGATATTTATTCAAACTATATTATGACTAAAATACAAAGTTAATTATAAATAAAATATAATCCGTGCATTTTATTATCATAATAAATTTGTATTTTATTATCTTATCTGTACTTTCATGAATTTAAGTAACTGATTGGATCAGTCAACATAATCTCATAAAATGTAAGATTAACCAATTCAATTAGTGAATAATCTCATATTTTTTTCGTAAACATGTATATTTGTAATTTTAACATTTGTAGATATATTGTCCAAAATTTAACATTTATTTCTATTTTAAAATATATCACCCATTAAAATAATATAATGTAATAAAGTTTTTAATAATTTTATTTTTTTATGAAATTAATATACTTAATAAGAACTTTTAATTAAATTAATAATCAAATTATTTAATCTTATATTTTATAAAAATTATTAAATAATATAAATGTTAAAATTTAACATACTGTGTAGCCGGATCTTTCTTTATATACATATATATATATATATATATATATATATATATATATATATATAACGAACAAGTTTATTTTTGTCCTGTTTGACTCAAATCAATTTTTGTACTCAAATAAAGTGGGACCAGACCGGATCCACCAAACTTATAATTATAAAAAAAAATAAAAAAAATTCTATGATATGTATAAAAAATTTATAGATTATCGTACATAAAATTTTTTACCAATAATATTTAGAGATGTATTTAAATAATAAATTTATTTAATAATAAATTATTATATTTTTTATATTTAAATAAATTAAAAAATATTTAAGTTAAAATTAAATAAATTAAATTTTAAAAATAAAATAATAATATTATATTAATATTATATTTTTAATTTTATTATTATTAATATTTAATTATTAAATTAATATATTATTTATAATTTTTTGTTTATGATAAATAAAAATTACTTAAATATAAATTATATTTTATTTAAAATAAAAATTTATAAAAAATAATAAAAATATAAAATTAAAAGTTTAATATACAATAAATATATATATATATATATATATATATATATATATGTAATAGGACTGTATAGTAATAATATAATTTTAAATAAATTACATATAATAATATTTTTTTTAACTTGTCACGTGTTTCTGTTTTTGTTTATATAAATTTTTTGAATACAAAATCATAAAAAAAAATTAGAAAATTATAGCACATACCTTATTAAAATATATTAATTTTAATATTATATATAGCTAAATCATAGAATTAATGAAGTATAAATTAAAATTAAATTATATTTCATAGCATGATTTTAAAACAAATAGTATAAATAGAATATGATATTTTAATATGAAAAATATTATATATTAAGTCTTAAAGTGTTAATAATAATACATAATTGCTTAAAAACTATAAATTTTAATAAGACAACTCGAATTAATTAGAACGCGAATCTGTTCTCTAAATACACCGATTTTGAAAACTTGAACCTGTCAGAATTAACATCGTATTAGAACACGTTTTCAGTGGGACAAGTCGGGTCTTGTACATTAAAAAAATATATTGTCTTGTTTTATTATCAGCTTGCATATTTCTCCGCTGAACAAAATTAAGTACAAAAGTTAGAATGAGGACATATAAATTAGTTATCCATTATCAGCTTGCTTGTTTTATTATCCATCGATTTTTTTCTTTTTCTTTGTGATAATAAGTTATCCATTTTTTCGTTGTTTAACTTCAAATCTTTAATTGATATTTATAAGTAAATATAAGATTAGTTATCTGTAAGATTTTAAAATCAAGATTTTAATAGATTCTTGCAAAACTTATAAGTCAGAATTTTAATTGATTCTACAGGACTCTGTGAACTTTGCAGAATTTTGTAGATTTGTCACAAAGAGTTCAAGATTTTTCTTATATATTCAAATTTAAAAAGAGTCAAAGACAAAAATAATAAAAAATATTAATATCTAAATAAATAATAATAATAATTTTTTACAATATCATGTCCTCTAAATAGCATCCACCCACGTATCCATAGCTATACTAGTCCTCTAAACATTAACTTCTTTTCGCTCTTATTCTTGAGTTTGAATAAGAGGCTCAAAATTATGATATTCATTAATTGGTAATATTGAAGATGAAGGTTAATCTATTGGTTCAATTAGAAAATTCATCAGAATGACATTATTCGTGAAGAAAGTTATATAGTGTTGTACATGTTAACACTGCAGAATTTATATAATTATAAAGGTATTGTTGATCATACATAACACACATCATAACATCAAAATATATTTCCAACAATATATATATAATTACATAAGCGCGTTAAACGCGTACCTGATGAGAATGCACGATCCATAAGCAGTTCTTCTTCACAAGTGAGCGTGTACTACTCTCTTCTCTGATTGTTCTTATCGCACACAAGTAACTGTCTAATGGGGCAACAGTTATGACCTAATCAGATGAGAGCAGGAACCTCTCACTAGGCACATAGAATGGCCCAACCCATCACGGATCATTCTCACTAAAAGCCCAAACATAAATCTATACGATTAATAATAATTTTGCATATTTATTAATTATTTCATAATTAATAACAAATATATCTATAATAATTTAATAATACTAATCCACAAATTAATATAAATATTAATATTAATGTTAAAAAATCTAACATTCTCACACTTGGATAGCATCGTTAAATTACTAAGTTCACAAACTATGTTATCATAACAAGTTATTAATTATCACAAAAGAAATAATAAGCTCTTAATAATATACAATCATATCCGATAGGGATATAGACCACACACTACAAACAACTTATATTTCAATCACAATATAGATAAAGGAAACATAAATATCAATTCCTCAAAGGTCCAAGCATAAAAAAACATAAAAGATATGCCAACAAAAGTGTCACAATCATGTCAATGAGCAAATACAAAATTAAGCTCCCACTAATCCAAAACATCAAAAGACTTGACTAAACCCATATGAGCTACATGATTTTGAAAAGCTCCAACGGTCAAGCCTTTGGTTAGTGGATCTGCCAACATGCTCTCTGTGGAAATGTACTTAATTCGAGTCTGAAACTCAAGTACTTTCTTTCTAACAAACAAGTACTTTATATCAAAGTGTTTTGAACGAGTAGAACTCTTATTATTCTGAGATAGAAGTACAGCAGCAGTATTGTCGCAATAAATCACAAGTGGCCTAGATATACTCTCAACAATGCGGAAGCTAGAAATCAAATTCTTTAGCCACATAGCCTGACGGGTAGCCTCATAACAAGCGACATACTCTGCTTCCATAGTAGAAGTAGCTGTAACTGTCTGTTTGACACTCTTCCAAGATACAGCTCCTCCTGCCATCATAAAAATAAAGCCTGAAGTAGACTTACGGTCATCAGATGATAAGAAAGAAATCAAAATAGGCACCTTTATGAAAAAACAAGAGCGCGACAAGTTGATTAAACTCTTGCATGATTATAATGACGTCTTTGCATGGTCTTATCAAGATATGCCAGGTCTAGATGTTGACATAGTCGAGCATAAATTGCCACTAAAACCAGAGTGTTTCCCGGTTAAGCAGAAATTAAGGAGAATGAAGCTTGAGATGTCATTGAAGATTAGGGAGGAGGTCAAGAAGCAATTTGATGCAGGTTTTCTTGCTGTTGCCAAATACCCTCAATGGGTTGCTAACATTGTGCCAGTTCCCAAGAAAGATGGAAAGGTTCGGATGTGTCCTCTTCAGCCATTTTGATCTGATTATAACCTGAGTAACCATCTATAAAAGAGAAAAATGAATGTTAAGCTGTATTATCTACTAGCATATCAATATGAGGCAATGGAAAATCATCTTTAGGGCTGGCTCTATTTAGATCCCGATAGTCAACACACATCCGAACCTTTCCATCTTTCTTGGGAACTGGCACAATGTTAGCAACCCATTGAGGGTATTTGGCAACAGCAAGAAAACCTGCATCAAATTGCTTCTTGACCTCCTCCATAATCTTCAATGACATCTCAGGCTTCATTCTCCTTAATTTCTGCTTAACCGGGAAACACTCTGGTTTTAGTGGCAATTTATGCTCGACTATATCAACATCTAGACCTGGCATATCTTGATAAGACCATGCAAAGACGTCATTATAATCATGCAAGAGTTTAATCAACTTGTCGCGCTCTTGTTTTTTCATAAGGGTGCCTATTTTGATTTCTTTCTTATCATCTTCAGTCCCTAAATTAATTGTCTCAGTGGGTTCATCATGAGGTTGGATCTCTTTCACTTCTTGATCGACCAATCTTAGAAATTCTGAGGGTAAATCAACATCACTATCATCTTCGACAGCTTGATTAATGGGACAATCAAAATTAGTGGATGAGATATTAGCACTGTTACTTTCAGACATGTCACTTTTGAATCTGCATTGTGCAAGAGTTGAGACAAAAAGAAAATAAACGACAAGATTCAACTGATAAAGAAAAAGACACGAAAGATTACTGAGAATTCAAATTACATTTCATTTAAATATACTTAAAAGGAAACATGTGTCCCAATTTACAAAACAAACTGATATTTTAAATTACAAAAAGAAATCATATATCAGTGTTTTCAAAAAGTAATGATATCCTAAAGCTTTGGAACAGAACAATAGGATTAACTTCAAGGATTACTTTGAATAGCTATTAAAAATCACAGGTAACTCGATGATCTCCCAATTGCCAACTTCTGTGTTTGGCGGACAAGTACGGACTAGGTCCACAACCTCTTCTTCAGGTGTATCCACATCAGCAGCAGCCACTGTGTCTTGAAACTCAAATCCAACACTATAGAAACTTTTCAGGAGATCACAAATGGGGACCCCTTCAGTCTTAGGCTCCCTACCTTCCAACCTGGCTAATCTTCTTTCTTTCTTTTCCTCCATGACTCTTCTCTTATCAGCTTTAGTGGGCGTGTATCCCAACCCAAATCTGTCCTTATTCTCATGGAGTTGTAACCAGTTTGTTGCTTTCGACATGACTTGCCCCAACATGTATCTGTACTGACAACCTCCATTGAGCATGACTTTAGCAGTCATTATGGATGTATTAGACAATCGAGGCTTTAAAATTGGAGCTCCCTCTCCTACATAAGTAGCATTCGCAATCTCTAAAGCTTGAAAAGAGGTCTCTAGAGCTTCTTCAGCAGCTTCAATATAAGGAGTGGACGAAGGCTTACTCACCAACACATCTTCTTCACCAGAGACAATCACTAACTTATTATCAATGATAAACTTTAGTTTCTGATGCAATGTGGATGGTACAACTCCAGCAGAATGAATCCAAGGCCTCCCTAAAAGACAGCTGTAAGCTGGCGCGATGTCCATTACTTGAAACAAAATCTGAAAAGTGCAAGGACCGATTTGGATTGGGATTTCAATTTCTCCAATGACCTCTCTCCTTGTTCCATCAAAAGCTCTTACTATCATGGCACTGGGTTTCATATGCGACTCATCACAAGGTAATTTTGACAATGTTACTTTTGGCATCACATTCAGAGAAGACCCATTGTCAATAAGCACTCTAGCAATAATGTGATCTCGACATTTCACAGATATATGCAGTGCTTTATTGTGCCCCATTCCTTCGACAGGTACTTCATCATCAGAGAAGGTGAGATAATTGTTTGAGACAATATTACCAACAATGCCTCCAAACTTGTCGGTAGTGATATCATGACTGACATGAGCCTCATTCAACACTTTCAAAAGAGTCCTCCTATGTGGCTCAGAGTTTAACAACAGCGATAAAAGAAATATCCGTGTTGGAGTTCTGTTTAATTGTTCCACAACTTGATATTCGCTTTGTCGAATAAATTTCAAAAACTCACAAGCTTCTTCATCTGACACTACTTTCTTTATTTCAGGCATTTTCTCTTCGTCAGCGTCTTCAAACTCGCCCACTTTGGCTTTCCCCTTTGAGGATCTCTCTATCTCTTTTGTTCGCTCCTTTCTCAGCTCCTCAGGTGTGTAAATGCGACCGCTACGGGTCATCCCACCAACACCAGCAACGTTTGAGACGACGAGAGTATCAGAATAAACCCTTGCATCATACTTCCATGGTACTGCTTTGTTGTCCTTATAAGGGAATGGAGCCGGTACTTGTATAGTGATAGGTCTAGGTCCATTGGTAGTTGGGGTATCCACACACTTGGTGTAATGAATGACCAAAGGTTTCAGAAAAGTTAGTGATTGTTCATCAACAGTCAAAACTTCATTTTTCCTTTTAAAGTGCCCGATTTGGACCAAATGCTTGTCCATCAGGGTTTGCAGAACATGCTTGAATTCTTCACAATCTTCAATGGAATGGTATGCATTAGGGTGCAAATCACACATATTTTCTTCATGTACAAAACCCTTGATCAAGTCAGCCTTGCACAACTCATAAAAAATAACCTTAAGAGGAGTGGTAACCTCTTCAACTTTCCTTTTTAAAACATGTGCAGACTCTTCCTCGACGACATTTACCGATGATCCTCCATGCCCAGGTAGGGGATTACTCCTAATGTTAGGATTATCCTCCTTGAAATTCAGCCATTTGGCATTAATTAAGTCTTGCACTTTGAACTTTAATGCCCTACAATTCTCTGTCGAATGACCAATACCACCAGCATGATACTCGCACTTAGCATTCGGGTCATACCCTCTTGGATAGGACGGTTCTACAGGTTTCATTGGACAAGGTACAACTAATGAACTTTAGAATAGACGAGGTAGTAACTCAGTGTAGGACATAGGGATTGGGTCGAATTGAACTTGCTTCCTTTCTTGACTGTTTTGGGGTCTTATTTGGTTGGGATTTGGGTTTTGGTTCCAATGTTGGGGTGGTCTCATGGGTGGTGCTATAGGAAAAGTAGGCGGAGCGGGTTGGTAGGGTCGCGACTGATAAGATTGGGGACTTGGATTCTGTGAAACAACATTGACATATGGGTAAGACATTTGAGGGGCAAGAAATGTGGGTTGAAATTGAAAAGGTGCAGGGTTAGGTCTGATGAAAGGAACTTCTCTTGGGTGAAAAGCTATAGCATTAGTCTCTCCCTCCTTCTTTCTTCCTGGACCATTTGTAAATTTCTTCAAATTGGAGGGTCTACCCGAATTGTGAAATATCTTACCATTCCTCATTCCTCTTTCCACTCTTTCTCCAATAATCACAATATCAGAGAAGTTTGACGAAATACTTCCAATCATCCTATCATAGAAAGGTGATTGGAGAGTATCAATAAACATAGCTACCATTTCTTTTTCAGACAAAGGGGGCTCCACTTGAGCTGCAACTTCTCTCCATCTCTGGGCGTATTCTTTAAAAGTCTCATCCTCCTTCTTTAACATATTCTGCAGTTGTAATCTATCAGGAGCCATATCAATGTTGTACTTATATTGCTTTAGGAAAGCATCAGCCAAGTCTTTCCAACCACGAATACAAGTACGCTCAAGATGCATATACCAACTCAAAGCTCCTCCAATCAAACTGTCTTGAAAAAAGTGAATTAGTAGCTTATCATCATGGGTATGTGATGCCATCTTCCTACAGTACATGATCAGATGACTCTTTGGGCATGTCGTTCCTTTGTACTTATCAAAATCAGGCACTTTGAATTTTGGAGGAACTATCACATCTGGGACCAAGCAAAGATCCGCGGCTTCTCCAATGCCATAGCTACTCCCCTCAATAGCTCTCAATCTTTCTTCCAATATTTGCAATTTTTCTCTAGATTGGAAGTGCTCCTCTGAGTAATTGGGTTGGGGTTCTTCTAAGGTCTTATGGGAATGGAATGGTGATATGGCTGGGTTTCCATCAAGGCTAGGATTAGTGATTTGTGGTTGGTGATGGATCGGTTGATTTGGGGTAGGTATAGTGTGGGGTATATGAGTTTCTTGAGGATGAGTATTTTGAGGGTAAGCATATGATGGGATGGATGTTTGGGTTGGTTGGATTTGTGGACCTGAAGGTTGTGCAGGATTGGGTTGATTTGATGGTTGGCCAGTGTTTGGTGGGTTCTCAGCTATCGGTGGTGTATAACCTTGAGGAAGGCCATATGGGGGAAATTGGACATCTTGTTGATTGAAAGCTTGTTGTGGAGGCCTTTCTACATGCAAGGTTAAAGGCACCATTGTTTCATGAGGAGGAAAATTTTGGGACGGTCCTTGTGTAGGGGTAAAACCTGGTGGATAGGTAGGAGTGGGTTGTGCTGGAGGTGCTTGAATAGGGGTCCCCTCTGTGGTTCTTCGCTCTAAAGACTTCAGTGCCTCTAGGATTTGTACCATTTGTTCTTTCAACTGATTAACATCATTTCTTAGCTCTTCATTGTGCTCCTCTAACTCATCCATGATCCTTGCTTGAGCGTGAGTTCTATAAGGATGCTTTAGAAAACGTTTCCCCATTATATTTGTTTAATTTTCTGAAATAGTTTGTAGTAAAAAAAGAATTAATCAAAATGAAAAATGCACTTAAAAAAAATAACAACCAAAGACTAAAGAATCATCACAGTTGTTGAGCGTCTTCAAGTCTTTAATGGAAATTAATGTAGGATCCTCGTTAAATGAAACACACCAAAATATAATCCATAATCAAATTAAAACATCAAAGTACATCAGAACTTGATTCAAAATACATCTTTCTTTCTTTTTTTTTTACCCATACCCTAAATCATTACATCACCCCTTCCTAGCCCTAGCTATCATTCCTTTCATCTCTGAGACCAACCAGTTGCAATGGCTAAGGAAATCTTTAATTTCTTGAGGTATCATGTAGAAAAAAGTAGTTGTCTCAGCCTTTGACAACATATACGGGACGTCATCAATCGCGGCATTAGCTAATGATGCAAGTTGTATGAAGCGCTTGATCCAATACTCAATAAGCTTATCTCCTTCTTCTATCTGACCATTTTTCACTTTCACAATAGCTTCGTACTCTTTCATGATTCTGATCACTTCCCACTTTTCAGCATTAATTTCAGCCTCGCATGCCATGACAATTTCCTTTATCTGCTCTTCCATATTTTTCACTCGTGTTTGGAGTTCACTGGCTTGAGTCAAAGCTTCTTCTCGATCTCTTTTTGCCTTGTACAATGCACCTTTCAATTGTCGTTTCTCATATAAAGCTGCATTTCGCTCCTTCACCCTCAATCCTAATTCCTTGTTTGCAGCTTCAAGGCAACGTTGAACTTTAGTTGTATGGCTTTGCACAGACTTCTGCTTCTTACAAACCTCTTCATAGGCTTGTTGTTTTTCACTGTTTTCTCTCTTCAAAATGGCGCAAGTTTGACGGCTCTCTCGAAGCTCCCTTTCTACCCTCACATTCTTTTCAATCATCTTAGCCAGTCTTACCTTTAATTCTTTTACTTCTTCATTCTCAAAGGGTTCTGGATTAGATGGCTCACTTTCTTGGGAGGTACCTGGATCTTTGAATGGTAACTTAATCTCTTGGACTCTTTCTTTAACCCATTGACGGTAACTTGCTTTCGCTGCACAACTTCTCACGCCTAACTCTTTTCCTTTTCGAACAACCCTTGCCCAAGCATTCCTTGCCTTTTGGATAAGCTCAGTGAAATTTCCATCTTCATAATAGACAACAAAAGGAATCAACAATTCCTCAGCAGGTGGTCCCATCATGGGATAAGCGAGCTGACGTTGTCCCATAATTGGATTGTAATTAATACAACCCCGAGTACCCATAAGAGGAACATTTGGGTAATTGCCACAATGATAAACAATAGTCATTGATTGTTGCCATGGAGTGTGCCACCTGACGTGTCCTTCATTCAAACTGGCTAAGTGATTAGCCCACTCTTGACCATTTTTCTGCCCAATCTGAAACCTCAGCAAATCAGTGATCGGACACTTGATCTCACTTGGCCTTTTAAAGGCATGAGCTGTGAGCCATATATAAAGCATAGGTAGACAACATATAATCCTCTTTCCTTTCCTTTCATGGCAGAAACTCAATATACAATAAACATCAGCTAGTAGTACAGGGACAGGATTTTCAGATAGATTTTTGCATGCAAGAAACACATCTATTGCTGCTAAATCCACAAAGCTGTCATGCTTAGGGAAGAGGACAATGCCATAAATGGTGAGTGCTAGGACATCTATGAAAGTCTCCCAATCTTCTTTTTCTGCCAAATTATGCATTTGTCACTCAAGAAATTCTCTTGTGAATCCTCTATTCTGATGTTTTTCTTGGTAAGCTTGCTGTAACTCGGCTGGATGAATCCTTAAGACATTGGCGATAGTCGGCAGAGATGCATGATGTTTCATAGGGCGATATGGCTGTTGACCCTCCAAAGGCAAGTCTAGAATTTGCTCAAATTCCTCTAAGGTCGGAGCCAACTGAAAATCTTGAAAAGTGAAGCACCTCAACGGGGAATCATAATACTGGGCTAGAGCTGTTATGGCATCTTCTTGCACATTCACTTCCATCAATCTCAAAATATTTCCATACCTCCTCACTAAAGTGAGTTGTTGGACCGTCTTCAGCTTCTTTCCTAATTCTCTCAAACTAGTAGTGTCAACCTTTTTAACTTTTAGATGCAATTTTCTTCTCAACTCTACTGATCTCATCTCACTGCTACTTGATCCCACATTAATTTCCATTTCCTCAAATACTCAAATAACTTTGTGATTCTCAACCTATAAATAAAAAGAAAATGATGAGAAATTATTTCAAATCTTGTATTTGTTTCATTAACATAGAATCCTAGTAGCCATAAGGATTAATATTGATTCTAAACAGATAAACATCCATATAAGAATCAACATTAATTCTAAAGGAATCGATAATCCACTCGGCTTTTACATTAATGAGACAAATATGTGATGACCATGATAATGCGAGGACAATATGAATCATCACCCTTTTTAAGATCTTTTGAATTTTATTTTTGATAAATCTAAATTGATACTTAAAAGGGTAATGCTTCATCTGACAATGCAATGGTGTAAGAAATTATGCAAATTGTCATCCTTAACCTTATTTCGAAACTAATTTTAAATTTATTACAAGTGTCAGAAGGATGGCAATAAGCATGATATTCAAATAAATGATATGCAATGATATATGAAATGATGATGATGTAAGAAAAATTAATTGAAAGAATCATGTGAATCACTAGTCCTTATATCATTCCAAAATATAGTAAAAAAGAAAGAAAAAAAAATAAAAAAATTCTTCTCTTCTTTTTATTTAAAACTTTAAGACACTAATAATTCACATGATTTCTAAAAGAGTAAATAAGGAAAGAATACCCCCTTTTGTGTCCTATTTCAGGTCGCCTAAAGGGTCTAACTTAAAGATCTACAACTTTCTTTTACGTGTAAAAACTCACAAAAGGTGGCTTGTAATCCTAAAAGGTCACTAGAGCTAAGATCCAATCCTTGATGTTGACCACAACAGTAGGGAGTCTACTAGATGCGGGACATCAAGAAAAGGTCAAACTCTAGCTAGGGTTTTCACGATAGCCAAATAGGACGTGCATCCAAAATGACACCGCTACATAACCCCTCTAATCCTAGGTATACTCAGACCTGGGTATAAGGCTCCACTCAAAGTGTGTGATAAATGTGTAAGTGGTAGTGTGTAAGGGAGCATACAAACCTTATCAACTCAACAAAAATAAAAAGCTGCAAAAATTAAACAACACGAGAATATACAAATTATCAATAGTCATCTACCCTAGGATTAATAACAATATCAATATGGGCATACAATGAGATTACGCAATTCATACACAAAATATTTGCACGAATAAAAGAAACACTACAATTAACTCAAATAAATAAAAAAAAGGGATTAAACAAATAGAAACAAAATAAAACAAATTCGCACAATCAATTATCAAAGGCTTGACTCTCTAAAAGATTTCCCCAGTGGAGTCGCCATCTGTCGCAACCGGGCGGTCGCAACAGTACGGCGAAAAACGTTTTTTTAAAAAGTATCAGAGGAGTCGCCACCAAAGTTTATTTTAAGAAAAACCTTGAAAAAACTTAAATATAATACGATCTTTGAAACCAAAAATGAGTTCGGGAGTCATTTACATGTAGGGAAGGTATTAGCACCCTACAACGTCCGTTTAAAAAACGGTTACCTAAAATTAATTGTGCAAATTCATTCTAATTTTGAAAAATATTTATTTAATCCCTAAACATTAATTATTTTTATTTTAAAATAAGAAAAATTATTTATTGAGATATTATTTGGATTATTTTGACAAAGAGAAAATTTATTTTGAAAATTATTTTGACTTGACGGGTTCGGTTCCCGCTCCTACATATCTCCAGGTGCAATGGAGAACTCAAAGCCACGTAGTTCTTATCTAAAAAATTACGAAGTCGGTTAATTAAAATAAGTTCAGTAAAAGAGATTTATTTTGAGATTAAAATTATTTTTGTAAAGTTATAAAATTTAGGATACAAGATAACGCGGTTATACATATACTCTACGATAAACAATATAGAAAGTGAAGAAAGATCACACAACTATATTGTAAATCGTTAAAATATCTTATTATTACAAAGTATTTAAATTTTACTTTTGATGTGAAAGAAAATTTAAGATAACGTAAGCTATACATAAATCTTCCTATAATTTGTTGGACAATCGAAGGCAATGTAAATCACACATCGATATTTGTATAAATAAGCAAAGAAATGTTTAGTTATTTAATTCATCAAATTTTGAAATATTAAGAAGAAAAATTACAATACGAAATTAAATCCATTTGATGAAAAGAATAAATATATCTAAATTGATTAAAGAAAATAACTATTTAATAAAAATTTAAATTTTATTTGATAAATTTATATTGCATAAGACCTAAGGTAACGTTGGTACACATAGATTTTATCAATTTATATTACATAACGATAGAAAACTATACATTAATTTTATAAATTGATGAGAATATTACACTATTTATTTGTTTACAAAATAATTTGTGAGTTATAAAAAAAGCTAAAATATGAATATAAAATCTAATTATATCAATCATCCTAAAATTAATACAATAAAGTAAAGAATGATAACACTGTAAATAAATAAATTATAAACACATAAATAAATATAAACTATATATACATACACACATATATTTACATGAATTATTTATGTATTTTTAAATTTAGTTGGCTGAATATGATATCCTTAAAATAATAATAATAAAAATAATAACAGAAAAAATGAAAAAAAGTGAATAATAAATAATAAAAAATTCAAGCGTAATCTAACATTAATCTCGGTCTAAACTTTTTGGAAGTGAACTATATTTTTATGACATAAAATAAATAAATAAATATAAAAGATATAAAGAAAAAAGAAAGAAAAGAAAAAAAAAAAAAAACGAAATGACTGCACCATGCTGTAAGTTAGACTGTTGCTCCTTTCACCGCCTATATTCTTCTATATCTCATATGCATAAAATCAATGAACTAACAAAGAATTGAAAAGACTATACTCTGCACTTCTCGATTTCCATCTTTATATCTATTTCATTTCCAATGCATTAATAAGCAAATAAAATAATATATAATGCAGCTTTTTGAATGGATTTGACCATATCTCTCCTCGACGTGCATAAGTCACGTTTTCATCAAACTCTCTTTTCATTTTTATAATAAAATAATAAGAACATATTAACAAAACAACTAAATCCTATCAAATGACCCATAACTTGTATTCTTTTTTATCTTGCGTCTTTCATCCCACGACATGGTTCTGTGAATATGAGTTTAGCAGTAAAGACAATACCTTGGCAGTATTCAAAGTTGAAGAACGTTCAGATTTGAGCAGCAACGGAGGATGAAAGACGGTGACTATGATTCCTTTCTTCTCTTGATTTTTGATTTTTTCTACTATTTTATTTATTCTCTTCTTTGTTGTGCTGTTCTCCTTCCTCTATAAAATGCTCCCTTTTTTTTACCTGCTTCCTCTCTTTCTCCCATATTCCTCTTCAAAATGTTTCTCTCTTTTTTTGAAAACAAACTTGTTGCTACCTCTTGAAATATTTTTCTTTCTCTGAAACTTTGTTTCTTCTCCAAAAAATTGTTTGCTTTCTTTTCAAAAAACTTCACACTCCTCTCTGAAAATTTTTGCTTTGCTTTTTTTTCTTTTCGAAAAGTTTTTTTCACCACATCTCTTGCTTTTGTATTTATATTGGTCATTTTTAGGATTTAACATGGAGACAAAATTCTAAAGCTTTCCCTTTCTTATGTATGGACTTTAGTTTGGGAGCTGGGTGTAAGCCTGCTTGATGCAGGATTTCCGTTTCTGGGACCAAATCTCTTTTTTCAAAATTTTCTATTTTTCTGTAAAATAATTTTATTTTATTTTTATAAATTAAAAAAAATTTGGAAGCCATTCCGGAAATACAAAAATTGGTATTCACACAAGTCCTCACTGGACAATTTAGAACTAAGGTTAGTGTCCTACAATTACTATTGTGACCCACTGCACATCCGAGAACTCAATATAGATCATTATTGTTGCGTCTATCATGTAGATCTGAGAATGAAACAGAAACTAAGTAAGGTGAGAATTTCTAAAATTCTTAGTAGAGTTGTGTACTTCTATGTTGACATCGCTTTCATTCTCAGTTACTTCATTTTTTTTTTTTAAATAAAGGGTTGCTAAACCAATAAGGAAATCTTTCAATTGTGATTATTGAAAAAATGGTCTGAGGTGTAAAGTAAATTTTATGTCTAGCATTTGTAATACACAAGATCATAAGGATTATGAAACACATATATAAGTAATTAAATAAATAGTCAAAAGACTCAACATGAATTATACATGTGACATAATAATACTTAAAGTTATAATTGAAAGCAACATAGAAATGAACTACTATTAATTAAAATACTCTTAATCACATAATAATGTGCTTAATTCTCATATATATTCCTATCCTTGGTCCCCTAGGAGTTCTTGGCCATAAGACTCTTGGGTAATAGTCTGCTTATCAGGATCGAGCTCGTTCCTATACAGGATTTGTCAGGTTTACTTTTCCTGACGCTCCCACCGACTTATTCCTCTTAACTTTTATCCGGGGCTGGCCTAAGTGATATAGGACTTTCTTATAACTTTCAATCATCTTAGACTTTCATAACTTTCATATTGTAACTCACATATCTCTTTGAAATTTTACAATTTATCCATAATTCTTACAAAATCTGTGCAGCATAACACATCATATTTAATAATTATATGATACAACTATAATTTTTGATTAAATTTTATTATAAAATGAAACTACGAAGTAGTATGATGGAAATGTACTTATCTAATATTTATTTTGCGATAGCAAACATCATACTTTTACTCTTTCAATCGGATATTTTTAGGCTCTTTTAATTCAAACGCGCTGTTTTTATCATGCATTCCTTGTTTTTAGTCTCCACAAGTGTCTGTTGAGCCTTTAAACATGGCCAGCTAAGGATGTGGAACGTGTGGATGAGATTGGTACATCATTCATTTCATATATGGATTTGTGCTCCTTTCCTCGCTGATTATACACATTAATTGCATTCCTCTCTTTGAATATCAATATCAACCCTTCTTCATCGTTCTTTTTCAATGATGGCTAAGTTTGAGTCAGTTCCATTTGCTGTTGCTTCAAACCTCATTCACAGGTTAGCTTCCCCATATTTTCTTAAATTTTAACACAATTTATCGTATATTTCGATTGTTGTTCGAAGGCTTCGTACGTACGTCCAGAAACTCATAGGTTACTCTGAGTTGTGTTAAGATTAAATGTGTTTGCTAACTCGTAAACTTAGTACCAAAGACACTGTTAATCATGCCTTTTTTTTTTATTCTTTCATAAAAATTGTTTAATTTCCAGTTTACTTTGTATTTAATTTAATTTTTCTAATTTCCGTTTATTTTAGATTTCTCTTAACTTCTAATTGTTTTTAACACAGTTTTACGTGTGTCTTTAAATTTATCTAATGTTTGGCATATGAAGTTTATTTTGTGGTATTGTTTTACAGTGTTTGTATCTTTTAACTGTTAAAAGACAAAAATAAAAAAAAAATAAAAGTAAGTCTTATTATATTACAAAAAACTTACCTTTCTTTTTTGGCAGTTTTCATTTGTCATTTGTTTTGAGTTTTAACCATTCACTTTTTAATTTTTTCTCAAGCTAAGTTTCTGACCTTTTGTATTTTAAAATAATTAGTATTTAAAGTTTGTTTACCGATTGATTATTTTGTAATTTCCACTTTTCTGCTGAATTATATTTTAACTGAAATCGAAGCAAATCATAATTATATTAATTTTTAGCAAAAAGAAAAAAAGATAAGATAAGAAAAGCAATCGCTTAATAAGTAAAACAACAATAGATCATCTAAAATCTTTAAATCATTCTTTTTGTCTCCAACAAAATCAGATCTTAAATTAAAAAATATAATATTTAAAATTCTAATAAAAATATGTTATCTTTTTTCTATTAATATATTAGTTAAAAGTTATTTTATTAGTATAGATAATATCACGTTAAAGTACGACAATCATTTTATCAAGAGTATATTATAATCTGCTATCTTAAAATTATATTATATTACACTCTATTCTATTTTAAATAAAATAACCTCCTCTCATAAAAATTAAAATGTATCGCATCATTATCATTTTAAGGATTTTGTAAAGCATTGTTAACACTTGTACGTTCTAATTTTATTTTATTTTTAATTCCTATAGTCTAATTTTCATTTAAATGCCTTAATTTTTAAATTTGTTTTTACACTTTACTTTTTCTTTGAATATTGTTAAGATGTCTCATGTTAGTTAGTAATAGAGTCAATAGTTAGGATAGTCCTCTTATGAGCTAGTATTTAAGGATGAGTTAAACCATAATTTCTTAACATGGTATTAAAGCCTATTTAGTTTGAATATTAGGTTAGATACAAATGTTTAATTCTACAAATTTCACACATTAGGTGTAAAGTCTTGAACCTCTCCTGCATATTTTATGTACTAGATGTCTAGTCCTAATCGTGAGGGGTGTGTTAAAGATGTCCCACAGTTTCTTAACAAATATATTAATATAACTCATTTATATTTTGTACGTTTTCATTAAATGTGAATTTTTTTTTTTTTATAAAATCTTGTTTCATTTTTTTGCTCCCAAGATAACATTTTAAAACTTTTATAACAAGTGTTTACTATTTTATAAAAAAATACATTGAGTTCATTCAGCTTTTAAAAAATTAACAAAAAGGAAGTGTAAATTTTATTTAAAAATTTATTTTAGTAAGAACATTTCAAATAAGTATTTAACTAAGTTGTAACAAAAAAAAAAACTTAAAATGGATTAAACTGTGATGCATTTTAATTTTTTAGGGAAGGAATGTATGATTTGAAAATAGAAGAAAGAGTAGTGCAGTATATGCATTTTTTGATAACAAAAAAAATTAATTTAATCTTTTCTTTATTCCCAAGAATTGTTTTCTTATTGTTTTTACATCAATTATGACTCTAATATTTTAATAAATTAATCAAAATAAATATTGGACTGAATGAAATTACTTATTTATTTTTTAAAAATATTGATTATATTAATTAATTACTATCACAAATTAATCATGATAGTAAAAAATAATTTAATGTATAATTTGACAAAGTTTTCCAAACAAATTAATTAAATATAAAAAGATATATTAATTTGTTAGAGTATGTTTGTTTCCAATTTTTAAAAGAGTTTTTTCTTTTTAAAAATTAAAAATACATACATTTTTAGTTTTTAAAAAGAGAAAACTCCTTTAAAAATTAAAAATAAGCATACCCTTAGTCTTTATAGTTTTCTTTACATTTTAATTAAATCCTTGTAATTTTAAAGTTTTTAATTAAATTTTTTAATTTTAATTTTTTAATTAAATTTTTAACAATTAATATCATTATATTTCTATTAATGATATTTTTAATTTACCAACCTATTTTTTTCGTTTTAAACTATCTTTTTCTATAATTATTTTATATAGTTAAATTTCTTTAAATTTATAAATTTATTGTTAGGTGATAAAATGAATACTAAATTGAGAACCTATTTTTTAAACTATATTTATCCTCACATATTTAATATGCAAGAATTAGAATATTTTAAATTACAAAACATTGAACGAAAAAAAATTATGAATTACTCTTAAAAGGAGTGATTCTAATATCTTCCTTATCTTTGTTGGAAATCTTTAAAGGTTAGTTTTTCAAAAGCTTATATGGCTTCTTCACCGTTGATTTGAAGTATTTTTAATTCAATCACTAAGATTACATAACGGGTAACTAAAAAGAGTCTATGACACATATAACAATAGTGACAACACTATCATTGTAATGCTTCATTATTAATGAATGAAACCAAAATTGCTTTAAACAAATTCTTGGCCATGAATATGTCACAATTGTGTTTGAAGATATGAAAACCTCTAGAGTTTCACAAAACTCAAAACTCAACCGTTCCTTTTCAGCCACTATTATGTCTCACATGTGAACCGTTTCCACAAAGGGTTGATTAAAAGATCATCACACTTTCATCAGAATGACACAAAAATCTATAACTGGTTCACCATTTTCGTACTCTCTGTATCTCTATCCAACAAGTTCATTCTCCTAAAAATAAGGGTTCATCGTGACAAAACCTTGAAATACCAGAGTTAAGAGCATGTAAATGTAGTGCCCAGTATTAACACTTGCGCGCTGTCACCAAACAAGAACACTTTGTGAAGAATTATCGTGTCACCAAACAAGAACACTCTATCAAGAATCATCGTATTCTGAAAGTGCATGTTCTGGTGTTGACGTCCAATTGACAGAGATAGCAAGTTAGTCTAAACAACGAAATTATTGAGGGAGTTATGGCCATTTGTGTAGCCAGTTTTCATCATCTATTATTAACCATCCCATTTAGAAAAACAAAAAATCAACTGTCATAAAACTTGAAGAAATCATCATTTAGCCTTCTGATAAGTTATCCTTTAAAAACTTTCAATAAAGATAACTAGGATATTAGAATCTCTTAAAAATTACCTTTACAAAAAGTTCAAGTTTAGAGTTTATCTTCTTTGATCGTAAATTCAAAATTTTAAAAGTAATTTTATATAAGTATTTTATTATAATAAATTATGTATGAAAAATTACTTTACGCTTATCTATATTAACATGTAGAATTTAAATGTTCTAACAATAATTTAATATAAAAAATATCACCTAATAATAATATGATTTAGAGAAAAATATTTATGAAAAATAACTATAAAAAGTAAAAAACTATAAAAAAAAATATATTATCAATCTATATAAAAATACCACGCTATTAATACATAATAGTTGTATAATATATTTACACATTGCCTTCGTCATTCTGCATCAAATCTTATTCACAGGTTAGCTTCGCCCGATTTTCTTGAATTTGGACAAGAGTTTGGTGTGATGGAAGAGTTAGAAGAGCTTAAGAACACTATTGAATCCATCAACGATAAGCTCCTTGATGCCGACAATAAACAAGATCGAGACGATGGTGTGCGAGTTTGGATCAGAAGGTTCAAAAAAGTAATTCATCAGGCAGACGACTTCTTAGATGACCTTGCTATCGAGTTTAGGAGAGACAAATTGAGTGCAGCAGAAGGAAAAGAAGTAAACAAGGTAATTAAAAACGTACGAGAAAGTTTTAATGGTCTAGTAAAAGAAATGAAGGATTTGAATTTAAGCTCACTATCTGTGATGGTTAAGCAAACTAACAGTGAATGGAGGGAAACATGGTCTTTTGCGTTAGAATCAGATATCATTGGAAGAGATGACAGTAAAAAGGAGATTATTAGTCTGTTGAGACCACATCACGATAACCAAAAAGTTTATGTGATTGCCATTTCTGGCCTTGGTGGTTTAGGAAAGACAGCTCTTGCTCAGCTGGTGTACAATGACTTGGCAGTGCAGAAATCTTTTGACAAGCGAATGTGGGTGTGTGTATCTGATAACTTTGATGTGAAAACTATTGTGAAGAAAATATTGCAATCAGTTACTGGTCGCCACATAGCAGAAGGATCATCATTAGACAACTTGCAAGAAGAGCTTCGCAAAAATTTAAGTGGCAAAAAATATTTGTTGGTCCTGGATGACATTTGGAATGAGAATCCTATAAAATGGGCTGAATTGAGAACTTACTTGATGTGTGGCCGTCAAGATAGCAAGATTTTAGTGACAACTCGAAGTGAAAATGTAGCAAAGGCAATGACCGTTGACACTTTCTATCCTTTGAAAGCTTTGACTGATGAAGAATCTTGGAGGTTGTTGAAGAACATTGCATTTGGGGATGATTCCAAAGGAGTGAATCAAAATTTAGAATCAATGGGGAAAGAAATAGCAAAAAGATGTAAAGGGGTTCCACTGGCAGTTAAAATGCTGGGAGACCTGTTACGAGAACAAACTGCGGAAAGTAAATGGGAAGATGTTTTATGTGGTGACTTATGGGAATTATGTATAGAGCAAGATAGTATTATGCCAATTCTAAAACTCAGTTACTACAACTTGTCGCCAGAAATGAGACAATGTTTTGCTTATTGCTCTTTATATCCCAAGGATTCAGAAATTCCAAAGAATGAGTTGATCCAGTTATGGATGGCACAGGGTTACCTTAAATATTGTTCAACTGAAAAACAGCACGGGAACCAATTTGTAAATATTTTCTTGATGAAGTCATTTTTTCAAGATGCAAAGAGTGATGAACATGGTGAGATCATTAGTTTCAAAATGCATGATTTAATGCATGATCTTGCAATGCTTGTTGCTGGCAATGATTGCTGTTACTTGGATAGTAAGGCGGAAAAAGTTGAAGGCAGTCCCATGCACGTGTCTTTGGAATCTGATGGGGCCATTCATTTATTGAATTCATTGTATAAGAGCAGGCTGCGAACGTTGATTTTGTGGTCTTACAACAATAAGGAGGAATTGCCAGTTGCAAACTTCAAATACTTGCGCGTCTTGAAGATGTCGTCTTCTTCTTTTTGCAGATTGTTTGATTCAATTGAAAACTTGAAGCATTTAAGATGTCTTCACATTGCTGATGATGATGACTCCTTGAGTGGGATGGCAGTTGGGTTGGGAAAATTGTGCTCGCTGCAGATCTTACCAAACTTTGTTGTGGGAGATAGCCAAGAAACAAAGTGTGGGACACTAAATGAATTGAAAGACGTAAACCTAAGAGGAGAATTAAGAATTAATCATCTCAATCGTGTGAGAGACGTGGTTCTGGAATCACAGCATGTAAATTTACAAGAGAAAAAATTCCTTCAATCCTTGACTCTAAATTGGTCTGATATCGATTGTTCTATGCCTCGTTTCATTTGGAACAGTGACAGCTTACAATTACTAGAAAACCTTCGGCCCCACCATAATCTTAAGCAATTGAATGTGAACAGGTATCCGGGCGTGCTCTTCCCAAATTGGCTTTCTCTCCTCACAAATGTTGTTGACATCTCTCTCGTTGGGCTTACGAACTGCCGCTGTCTCCCACCGTTGGAACGTCTCCCGTCTCTGAAGTCACTTGTGATAGAGTGTCTTTATGAATTGGAATACATATATTTTTATGAAGATGATTTTGCAGTAACCTTCCCCTCTTTGGAGATCCTCATGGTGTTTTGTTGTTTTAAGCTTAGGGGATGGCGGAGGAGGGGTGATGATATGAATGATTCACATAATCTGTCCTTACCTCTTTCATTTCCTCATCTTTATCAACTAACTGTCTCTTTCTGTCCAGAGTTGACTTGCGTGCCTACTTTTCCGAACGTTAAGGTTTTACATTGGCCTGAATGCAGTGTGGAGCCATTAATAGCAACACTAAACACAACAGCATCAACTTGTTCAGCTGACTCATCTTCCTCCGCTGCTCCTCTTTCCATGCTCAAACATTTGACAATTTCTGATCCTACGAATTTACCAAAGGGTTGGATGCAAAATCTGACTTCTCTCGAGACTCTTCAGATTGGATGGTATAAATCTGAAACACTGGAGGAATTTGAAACTGAGTTTAAGGACGACAACAACTGCCTTCCTTCTCTGCTAAAAATCAGCATATTTAAGTGTGAAAATTTAAAGGCTTTGCCAGATTGGATTTGCAACCTCTCATCGCTTGTGCAGATCTTGATCTCAGGCTGCCCAAGATTGGCATCGCTGCCCGAAGGAATGAGTCGTCTTACCAACTTAGTGATCTTTAAGGTTGTGAATTGTTCCCTCTTAATTAAAGAATGCCGAACAGAGACAAGTGCTGTTCGTCGCCGATTATCCTTCATGAATAGTGATCCTAGAGGTACTGATGCACTCTTTTCTCAACTGGTTTCTATCGTTTAATTTTTAAAAACAAATTAATTATTTACAATGTAAAAAACAGTTTTTGTTTTGTTTTAGTGTAAAGGTCGTGTTAATCAACAAATTAATTATTGCTTTACTAATAAAATTACTTTTAATTCATTTTGAATTTTTAAGGTTAAATAGAAATCATTCTAATAAAATTTATTTTCAACTGTTAAACAATATTGGAGTTTGCGTTCAAATTGATATTAACCGTACATTTAATGCAAGTTAATTTCTTTTGCATTGTACTGGTATATTAAAATTAAATTAAATTTTTAAATAAAAATTATTTTATAATCTAATCAGTTTTATAAATATTAATAAATGGATATTTAATTATTAATAATAATATTCTTTTATATTAAAAAAGATTAATTTAAAGATAATTTTTTAAAATTTAAAACTAATTATAAAAATTGTATTAGAAGCTCAATTATTTAAAACTTATGATAAGATGTTTTGTCATTTGCAAAATAACACTTCAAGATTTGCTAGATTAAGGAAAGTTTTGTTACTTTATGATTTGCTATACATATATAATTGTTATACCTTGTATTTTATAACTATTTGACTGCGTTAGCTCACTCTTGCATTATGTATATGTTGGTTGTATGCTGTGATGATCGTACGGTAGTACCTGACCTGTGACAGTGACATGTCCACTCTATGCAGGAGAGTTTGGCTGAGGAGTGGTCCATGTTGAAGATTTTGAAATTTGTAGCTTTATTTTGTTAGTTTAGGTCTTAGTGTGAGTCTAGACTACTTAACTATAGCTTTGCCTTAAAATGTAATTATTCAATTTTTAAGTTTGTATTTTGAGCTCTATGTCGAGCAACTTTTTATATGTGTATATTTAAAAATCTATTAACATGGCCTTTGGAGGTTTTACTCTACCATTGAGATATTGAATTTTTTATTTCCATTAATAGTTTTGAGTTAGATTTTGATTCTTTTTAAATATTTAAAATTTATACAGGCATTAAAATTGGATAGTATGTCATAGATCCTTCCTAAAAAGAGGTCGTGACAAGTGTTGTTGATGAGATAGTATTAAAGAGAATGAAAAGAAAAGCAAAAACATGAGTAAATACTGTTGGTCAAGTGTAAGCTCTACTAAGGATGACAATGGGTAAAGTATTGATGAGTACCCACAAAATTTATTCTTAACGGGTAAGGCATTTACTTGCTAAACGGGTATAGGTATAAGAATGGAGAAAATTTCACAAATTTTAATGAAGATGGGTACAAGTATGGGTACCTATGTACTCACTCCGTCCCACACCCGCATTTTATATATATATATATATATATATATATATATATATATATTATTATTATTAATTGTGTTACTTATGTGATGGAGGCTTTAACCCAAAAGCTCATGATGGGAGGGAATTAGGATTAATACTTTATATATTTGGTTAGATTTTCTCAATAGTTATTGACAATTATGTACTCATATGAGTTTCTCTAGAACTTGTCCTATCAAGAGTTGTACTTTAAGAGCGTGATTTACAGAGAAAAATCTAACCTATCACTTTTAATAGAATTTAAAGATCAAGTACGATAATTTTCATGCAAATTTAAGTTTTTAACAAGTAAGTCTAAAATTCTATTATAATTATTATTGATATTTCTAATTATCTTTGAGGTTCTAATTTCATATAATCTTGTATGAACAATTTTTTACTTACAATTGAACAACTAAGAATTTAAGAAAATAAGAACCTAATTCACTTTTAGTTTTTAGAAAGTTTTTGTAGATGCTTTTCTAAAATTTTGATCAAGATAAATATTTTACTATTTATTTTATGTAATTTCATGTCTTATATTTTTTACTCAGTCTAGAGTTCTTTTATCGACCATGATTATTTTATTTTTTTGAATGAACAAATTTTCTATTTTGAATTTTTGAGTAATATTGTCCTTCAATTTATAATTTTTTGTTTTTAAATTTTTTTTATACAAAATAAAAGGTTAAAAATTTAATATAAATATTTATGTTACTCAAATAAAAGAATACATATTTAAAGATATAAAATCTATCTAATTAAATTTGTTTTATAAGATTAACATAAAAATATATTTATCAATAGAGTCAACCATAGAAATAATTTTTTTTCATATTTTTAAGAAAAATTTTATTTTTTATTTTATATTATTTAATTAGACTAATACAATTTAATTATTATATGGTTGATATGAGATTGACTTTTTTTTAAAAAAAATTATTTATTATGACACATACAAAATGTTTAGAAATTTAATAATTAAAATTATGTGATATTATATTGACTTGGGTTAAATAAGGTTTTTGATTTAAGTTCTTACTTTGATATAGGTAATAACAAATGGAACACATGAATAACTCCTTCAAAAGAATCTGAAAGTAGCTCTTCTCTAATTATTTTCATTACTTCTCACATAACTTGAAAATGTTTTTAAGTGTTTTTTTTTAGGTTTTGGAGAGTGATAGTACAACACTTTAAAGTTTATGAGTTGGTTGTTTTACAAGATCTTAAAGATTATGTGTAAAATTTTACTTATGATTTTTAAGTATTTTAGTTTAGAAAGTTAATATATTAAGATACACTAAGTACTTGTGACCTTTAAATATTTATTTTCTATTTATGCTTGAACTTTATTTAGTTACGTATCAAACTTTTATATTATTATTTTACTTATATAAAATTATATAAGCATATTTTTTTTTATAAGTATTTTTTTTAGACAAGCACGAGTAATAAGGGCGGGTATGGGTATGCGGGTACCCAGCGGGTATAAGTATGAGAATGAAAATTATCACTCATGCTGACATGGGGCTGAGTACGAGTATTTTTTTAAAATATAGATATGGAGATGAGTACTATAGTACCTACCCATACCTTACCCATTACCATCCTTAAGCTACTATTCAAGTCCTTTTATTTTATATTGTTAATAGTAATATGTTGCTCCCTCTCCACTAAATACATGTCAAATCTATTTTATTTATTAATTTACAATATGCATGTCACTATTTTTGTTTCATGTTATCTTATATATTTTATATATTTAACTAGATCTCCTTTAAAAGATCATGTAAGTACATAAGTTACTCTACAATTTGTCTTATCTAATATTGTGATTTGGAAGAATAAATTGAGGGGAAAATTTTAACTAATTACTTATCATATAATTCAAAGCTCAAATATAAAATTTTTTATTCCAAAAGTTATATCTTTAATAAGTAAACTTAAAATTTTATTATAATTATATTTAGTATTTTAATTTTATCTAATTTCATTTAAACAATTATTTACTTACAATGTAAATTTATGTTATAAAAAGAACTACAAAATTTTGTCATAAAAACTATTGTGATAGAATTGTAAGTGGGAATTATTCAATTTTGTAAATTTTTGTTTATCAAATTATTTACATAAAAGTAATTTATTTTACCTTTCTATTGTTATTTTGAATTAAAAGAAGATTAAAATAAATTATATTTGTAAACTTATAAACTATTTTTTTTTTAGAAGTCACGTCAGAGTACCAATTAAACTACCAATAGGGTGTTTTTTATGCGTAAATGCTACTTCAAATATTAGTTTTTCTTTGTCCTTACATTATCTGAAGAGCCGGACTCGCATGTCCCAGACATTTTTACAAACATTGTTTAATGCATTGAGGCTGCTGCCAATCTTGACGATGACTTTATCACGTGTGAATGCTTCCTCGAAATAAAACAAATACAACATATTTTTTAGTATATTTTATAATTAGTTAGTTTTTAAAAAATTAATTCATAAGATATGTATTTCAATTTTTTAAAATTAATAAAAAATATTTTTATTTTACAAATGTGGTAGCACCTGCGGCTTTATTATATATGTGTATTATTAGATTAAAGATAATATCAAACCATTGAATTAATAAATTATATTTGTGCTTTTGCTGAATACATATGCGAATAGTGTTTATTGCTGAATGTTAACTTTTAGCAAGCGTACCAAATCTTATTATATTATTTATTTTAAAAAAAGTCGAATGTCACAGATGACTTTTGTTTTATATAAAAAAATTTAATACAAGACATATATAGGATATACAATTATGTTTTAAAATAAATAAATAAATATAAAAATTGTATATCTTTTGTACGATCTTATTATATTATTTTTAAAAAATATTTATATAGAGAGCCGTATTTTTTAAATACAACTCATAAAAAATTAAAGGTGGGTGGTATATGTTATATATAACTTAACTATTTTATTAATAAATTTACAAGTTAACATTTTACGGGTGCACTATTTTGATTAAAAGAAAAAACTTTTTTTTTTTTTGAGTCTTTCTTTTTTGCACACTTTATTATTGTGGAGTTGTTAAGGCATCTTTGTCCTATGAAAATACATATTGAGAAATAAGTTAAATGATTCTCAAGTACGTCATATGGTTGACATTGTATTAATGTTAAATTATTCTCAAGTGTCATACTTTCGTACTGGCGTACAACCTTCTTATTTTCTTTTTCTGTGATTTTCTTCACTTTATGGACATTATTTGTAAAGACTCACTGCTCTTAGACTTGAGTGCAGAGGTCCAGCTACAAAGCTGTAAACTTTGGACACAAACCTAGTATTAAATTATAACAAAAGTCCATTGAAAATAATTTAAGACTTTGTTTAATAACTTAGAGCAAAAGAAAGAAAAAGTTTGATGGGTAAAGGAGAAGAAAGAAGAGTTAATAAAAAAAAAATTAAATTGGAGAAACTAAAATATAAACTTGAGATTGAAGGATTTATAAACTCTCCTCTTCTCATCTAAAAACTCATGAATAAAAATAACCATAAAATTTAACTCAAACAAAGGTTAAGGTTATGAAATTTTCTTCTACAACACACATTTTTATCTTCCCTAAATTCTAATAATATAAATATATTATAAATTTGGATTGCCTTGATTTAGTTCAGTTTTAACCATAGGAAACAAAAATAAAACTGCACCACATAAGAAATATGATTCTTTCTTCATCTTTTGTTAGATCAGTTTTTATATGTTTTTACTTTTTAATAGATTTAGCATTTTAAAAACAACTTGATGCATTTTTTAACAGCTTTACTCATTCTAAGAGTTAGTAATAAAATAATCACAAACTTGTTGTATCCAATTAAATATTACTAATCCACTTATAATTTGTGCACTCTAAATTGCAACACATATTCATAGACCAAAGTTTATAACCTTTTAGCTTTGTAATTTATAAGCTCGCCTCAAGATTTTAGTTTGTAGCTTAAAACTTTAAATTTTTGAATAATTTATATATTAAAATTATCTAATAAATTTTGTGACCTAAATTCAATATTATTTCTTTTTTTGATAAAATACACTAATTCATGGAATGCATAAGTAAGCTTAATGATTAATTCTATCAATTTAAGTTTAGATATCTATAATTGATTAGTGTAAATTAAAGTGTTAGTCTAAACTAATATTATTATTTTATATATTTAGCTAGATCCCTTTTGACGGATTATATAATTACATGAATTATTCTACAATTTATCCTATTGAGAGTTGTGATTTGAGAAAGTAAATTATAGAAAAAAATCTAACCTATTACATGTCACATAATTCAAAACTCGAATACAACAATTTCATATAATCTTTTTTAAGTAATTTTTTATTTATGTTGTAAGCTTATTTTATAAAAAAAATTACAAATTTTTAAATAAATTACAAACACGTGTTATAAAAATTACTATATTAGAATTGTAAGTGTGGATTATTCAACTATTGTAAATATTTGTTTATCAAATTATTTACATAAAAATAATTTATTTTACCTTTCTATTGATATTTGAATTAAAAGAATATTAAAATTAATTATATTTCTAAATTTATTAATTAAAGTTTTTTTAAATAAACAATTTAATTGAATACTTATCTTAACAAATAATTATATGAGAGTTTATGATATAGATTTGATTACAAAGTTTATTAAAAACAATTAAAAACTTATTTGATAAGTTATAATAAAAAATTATTAAAATTAAATTAAAAAAACGTATAAGAGTTATAAATTATTCTCAAAAGCTTTTTATACCTCTCAAAATGTCTCTTAAAATAAGAATTTTATAAAATGAAAGATTAAAGTAAATCTCACTTACAATTTTTAGGAAATACAATTGATATATTTTTCTTTTTCTCAAATCTTACATGCTTTGTTATATGAAGAAAAATTACTATCAAATTTAATTATTTAGTTTTCAAATTTTATATCCTGAATTTTACTAAAAAAAATTAAGTGTTATTAAAGTAAAATTTTTGCATAGTTAAATATAACTTTTGAAATAAGATTAAATAAGAATTTAGTTTCGCTGAATATTGCTGTTTTTTAAATTAATTCTAATAAAAAAATGTTAAAGTTTAATTTCTAATATTGTATAGGAATAAAAATATTTATAATTTTCTGTTTAACTCATGATTTATATCTTTACTAAAGCCTTTTAAACAAAAATTATATTTTTACCGTCACGTTTAGCTTAAATTAAAATGGCAAGAATATTCCAGATGATTTTAGGATGGGTAAAATTAATTTCTCTTTTCTTATCTTTTAAAAACTTTTCTTTTTCAGTTTTGTAAACTTTTAATCATTTAAAATAAGATTAAATAAGAATTTTAACTTTCCCAGTAGTATGCTTTTTATTCGTAGATGCTACTTTAAATATTAATTTTTCTTTGTCCTTTAATTATTTGATGATCTGGACTCACATGTCTCAGACATTTTTATAAACATTTTTTCCTTTATTAAAGTTCAGTGTAGAACCCCACATACTAGAGGTCGCTGCCAATTTTGACGATGACTTAATTGTCCCTCAATGCTTCTTCCACGAAATAAAGAAAAAGAAATACAACAACACATTTCTTTTGTATATTTTTGTAATTAGTTATTTTTAAATAAATTAATCCATTAAACGAATGAAGATTAAAGATAAGATCAGACCATTAAACGAATAAATGAAATAATAAATTATGGGTTGACTGACTCTACTGATTATATTTGATCCTCTTGCTGGGTACATATGCAAATAGGGTTTTTGCTTCCTCCATTCCCAATCTCAAAAGTTTGAAACATCAAGTGGTCTTTTGAAGTCTTCTCTGATCATTCTGACGATGGCTGAACAAATTCCATTTGCTGTTACTTCAAATCTCATTCACAGGTTCGTTTTCGCACCTTTTCTTCAACTTTAGCTCTATTTATCCACCTTTCCATTGCTGTTCCAAGGCTTTCACTCAACGTCTTAAAATTCATACTGCCGAAAATTGGCATCGCTGCCCGAGGGAATGAGTCGTCTTACCAACTTAAACATCTTTGAGGTTACGAATTGCCCCCTCTTAATTGAAGAATGCCGAATGGAGACAAGTGCTGTTCGTCGCCAAATCTATGAAAATAACTAAATCCTAATATTTTTATTGATATTCTTAACACTCTCACTCAATCTAGTGAATGTGTATTTATCATTCTCAAATTGCATGAAAGATCTAGGATTTTTTTAGTGAATATTTGTTAGTAAATCTCTTAAAGAGATATAAATAATAGCCACAAAACCACTATCCAGTTTTTTGTTAATGAAATGTCAATTAATTTCTATTTGTTTTGTCTTATCCTTTCAATAGGATTATGAACTATATTGATAGCAAACTTGTTATCACACAATAATTTTATAGAACCAATAAATTTTAATTTAAGGTCATCAAGAGTGATCTTCGTACATAGAAGTTCATACTCTCCTTGAGTCATAGCTTGGAATTTAAATTCAACACTTAATTTGGCCATAACACTTTGTTTCTTGCTTTTCTATGCTACAAAATTTTTTCTAAGAAACATACAATATCTTGAAGTGGATCTTCTATCTACAATGAAATCTGTGTAGTTAGTGTATGTATATACCTCTAAGGAGAGAAATTCTCCTATTTCAAAAAGAATGTCTTGTTCAAGACTTCCTTGTAGATACTGGAGAATCTTGTTTACTAATTGTCAATGTCTTTCACATTGATCATGAATGAATTGACTAGCAACAGTGTTTATTAGTATCACGATACTTACGATGCGAATCATGCGAAATGTCATGAATCAACAATTGAACGATACTGAATCACTGCCAGAATTGTTTTGGGATTGAATTGCTGCCGGAATCGACCGAATTGTAATATTCAATTCTGAATCGTGATATTTGAGGGTGAGATGTGATACATTTATGAACTATTTACTTCTTATTTTATATTTGTCTATCTCCAAATATTTTTAATTGCTGTTTGCTGGAGACTAATGGGTCCTACCAAAAAAATAAAAGAGAGTGATATTACGTGGAAATATTGTGGAAGTGTCCCCTCACACAAGCTGTTAGTAAAATGCAAGTATTGTATACTTGTTGGGGTGGAGTTGTAAGGATGAAACATCATTTAGCTGGAACAAGGGAAAATGTAAGTGCCTATCCAAGTGTTACAGACGAGGTAAAGGAGATATTCATCAAATTATTGAAATAGAAAGAAAAGAAAAAATGTGAAAATAGCTTGGAGTGTTTTGAAGAAGCTGCTACCCAAGATGCAAGTGGTCAAAAGGAAAGAATGAATTTTTTTGTTAGCAAAGAAAAGGAAGGGACATCTAAGGCTCCAAAGCAAACAACAATGAATACAATGATTAAAGATATAGATGTTGTCATTCAAAAAATTTGTAAATGCATATATACTAATGCCTTATCATTTAATTTGGTAAAAAGTCCTCATTTTATTCAAATGTTTAAAGCTGTTGGAGAATTTGGTAAAGGTTTAAAACCTCCTACTTATCATGAAGTGAGAGTATCTTTTCTGAAAAAAAACAGTTGATAGCATCCATGAAAATTTGTAGAAATACAGGAGTGAATGGGATAAGTGGGGTTGCACTTTAATGTTTGATGGATGGACAGATGGAAAAGGAAGATCTCTTACTAATTTTCTTGTTAACAGTCTAAGTAGGACTGTTTTCTTAAAATCAGTTGATACTAGTAATGTTATCAAGGATGTCAAACAAATGTTTGAATTATTGGATGGCATGATAGAAGAAATTAGGGAGGATAATGTAGTGCAAGTTGTGATAGATGGTGCTTCTAACCTTGTGGCAGTTGGAAAAATGCTAGAGGAGAAGAGGACAAAATTGTTTTGGTCCCCTTGTGCAGCTCATTGTTTAGATTTGGTGCTTAAAGATATTGGACAACTTCCAGTATTCTTTAACACAATTTCAAATGCAAAGAAAATTACAACTTACATATATAGGCATATATGGGTCCTTAACTTATATAGACAGCATTATAAAGAAAGAGAATTAGCAAGACCAGTTGTAACAAGGTTTGCAACTTCTTATCTTACACTAAATTGCATTATGTAATAAAAGAATACGCTTCGATCTATGTTTGCTTCAGAAGAATGGGATGAAGTTATTATGCTACTAAAAGTGAAGCTAAGCAAGTCATGAATTTAGTTTTGAGTGATTCTAGATTTTGAAAATCCATTCAGTATTGCTTAAAGTGTGTGATTCAAAACCAGCCATACCATATATTTATGAACCAATGGATAGAGCTAAAGAGCAAATTGCTAAAAACTTTCAAAATCAAGAGTCAATACAAAAAGGTGTGGAAAATTATTGATACTAGGTGGAATTTGCAACTACATTGGCCTCTTCATGCAGCTGTCTATTATCTCAATCCTGGATAAATAAAGTCATCATCAATCTATTCATGCTTTTATATTTTTTCAAAGATTGGGTAACTTAAGTTGTATGTCGTATGTCTTCTTTAATTGGGTTTCACTATGACAAAAAATTCAATCCGGACAGTGAGGTTTTATTTGGCTTGTATGAAACCATTGAAAGAATGGTTCCAGATAAAAAGACAAGATTTTCTATTGATCAACAACTTGAAAAATTCAACACTGCTAGGGGACTTTTGGGAATGAATATGACAAAAGATACTAGAGACAAGAAGCAACCTGGAAGTTTTAAATTGATTTTTTCATATTTTAAAGTTGTTTTTATGACATACATCTTATTTTTGTTTTAATAGGACTTTGGTGGGAAAGATATGGTTGAGAGTGCAAAGAGCTAACAAAAGTAGCTATGAGAATTTGAAGTCTCACATGTAGTGCTATGGGTTATGAAAGAAACTGGAGTACATTTGATCAAGTGCATACCAAGAGCAGAAATCGATTGGAGGAACAAAGATTAAATGCACTTGTTTCTGTCAAGTACAATCTTTAACTTGATATGAGACAAAAGACTAGAGAAGAGAAGGGAGAAACTTATGATCCTATATGCTTGTCTGATATTAAATCAGATGATAAGTGGATTACTGAAAAAGAAGACCCTTGCTTAAAAATTGATGCTTCTTGGATGGATATACATGAGTGTTTCACTTCTGATGAAGGAGCTCCAAGCAAGAAAAGGAAGAGAGGTATTTGTTTAATGAAAAAATAGTATAATTATAGGTCTAATTGATTCTTAATGCTTTTATTTTATTTTATAAGTCTAAGAAACTTAAATGCTAAGGCCAATAAGAAGAAAAATCTATAGTTGGAGATGAGAATCAAATTGAAGAAAATTAAGAGATATTTGAAGATGGGAAGGAAGGGAAAGAACAAGAACAAGAAGAGCCTTTGCCATTGAAAAATGAGGATGAACTAAGTGATATTGATCTTGGGGAGGATAACTAGATTATGTATTTGGAATTTATACTTATTGAATATGTTTAGGGTTTAGAACTAGAAATAATGACTTGCTATTAGTTACTATTATTTTTTGTAGGTATATATGGCTGATTCATGCAGTCACAATCTTCTTCTTTTTTTTTTGTGTCATTGTGGCTGATTTGAGGTACATACATACATATATACATACATACATACATATATATATATATATATATATAGTTACAACTTTTTGATGTCATTGTAACTAATATGCCTTAAATTTTTGTACTACGTTTTATTTTATTAATTATGCAATGAAGTATTTGATTATAAAGTGTCAATATATGAAAGTATTTAATGAAAGTATTTAATTTTTTTTATATTATATTATTTTTTAATATAGTTTTAATAATGGTTATGAATCTTACGATTCACGATATAATTCGATTCACGATTCGAATCTCGATTTAACTACCATGGCTAGCAATGCTAACAGCATATGAAATATCATGTCTAGTATGAGATAGCTAAATTAACTTTTACATTAGTCTTTGGTATTGGGCTTTGCTTTGTTTATAGTAGGACTCTCTTCTTCTCCTCCTATTTAATTTTTTTTTTTGTGTGGGTATTCTAATAGCTTTGAATCTCAGTTTTTCAGTCTCTTTGAAAATATCTATAAAATATTTTCTTCAAGATGTAAAAATTTCATAATTTAAGTAGGCTACCACAATTCATAGGAAGTACTTCAGTCTTCTTAGACCCTTCATCACAAACTGAGCAACTAGTTTTTCCTTGAAGTTTTGTTTTTTAACATTACCTATGATGCCATATAAACTAGTAAAAATGTTAGTTTACTATCTTGTGAGTGTTTTATGAAAAAAATATGATCTTCCTAGCATTGGTTGTATTCTAAGGACATTATAGCCTAGCTTGAGTAAATTTCTCAAATCAAGCATGAGGAGATTGCTTAAGCCTATATAAAGCTTTCTTCAATTTGCACACTTTGTTTCCACCATCGTGTCAAATCTTGGGAGAATATCTATATATACTTTCTCCTATGAGTCTCCATGCAATAAATACATAAAACATATGTGAGATCCAACCAAAGTATGTTGTTATTGAATATGATAGTTCTACTAGTATTCATTTTTGTTACTAATGCAAATGTATTCTCATAGTCAAATCTATTAGTCTAAGTGTATCTTTTTGCAACTAATATGTCCATCTACCAATTAAGGGTACCATCTAATTGATATTTAATTATGTTGATCCACTTGCTACCCATAATTTTCTTGTTCTTGGATAATTTTACAATCTCCTAAGTGGTATTTTTTTTCAATGCACTTATCTTTTAATTATAACTTGAACTTAATTAATTCTCATCCTTTAAGGCTTCATGTACTAACTTAGGAATATTTGAAGAATAAGGCTTCATGTACTGGCTTAGGAATATATGAAGAATCAATAGCAAGGATAAAACCATAATGCTGCACATATAGATGTTTAGTGGATATAAATTGAGAAATTTGATACTTGACACCGGAACATTTTTCTTTTTGCAAAGTAATGACTAGATCATCTATGTTAGACACATAATTGTTTAAAGAAATAATTAATAACCCAAGATTAATGGTACTAGAACTTACCTCTAATTTGATTGACTGAAGTTGTTATTAAATCAAGTCAGGTTTTCTTCTCCTCAAGATAGGTGTACTTGCTTTTGTGGGCAATGACTCACTTTCTTCTTTGCTTGAGTTAGGGAGAATGGAGAGTAAATTCTTACAGATGATAAGGGTGAAGAGGAAGAAAAGATAAAGACTCATAAGGACTACTAAACTGAACCTTATGATGACTCTCCCCTAAAGTTGAGTATATGAGTAAAATGACTCTGCCTTATTAAAGGCGGCATTTATAGAAATGTGGACTTAACAACTCGAAGGATTATAACATTTACAACTTTTTTTTATTTGGAGTATTCCCTATGAAAATACAGTTAACAACATGAGGATTCAAATTATCACAATACTGACTTTAAACATGAACAAAAACAAGACAACTAAAGACACAAATCTCAAAGTTGTTTAGGACATGAACTAAAGGATGAAAGATAGAATTGCACAAATTAGGACTAGAACCAATCAAAATATGACTTGACAACCTGTTGATTAAGTAATAAGCAACCATTAAAATTGATTCTTCCCAATATGATTTTGACACTCTCATCTAAAATAACAAAATTTTGGTAACTTTCAAGAAATGTGAAATTTTTTATTTTTTATTTTTGCAATTCCATTTTGTTTAAGTATCTACACATGTCAATTCATGAAAAAAACTATTTTCTTGTAAAAATTGAAGCAAATTTTAGTTCACATATGCTCGTTCATTATCTACCCATAAATGTTTAATTGTTTGTTCAAATTGAGTTTGAATTAAGTAATCACAAATAGTTGAGTCACTCCTATTTTATCCTGTATAAAAAAGGTCGTGTCACAAGTATGCCCTCATCAATTAAGGATATAAACCATCTAACACCGTAAACATTAGCAATAGGAGCAAGTCCCTATACATAAAAGTGGATAAGATCGAAAGCTGTATTAATTTTTTAAAAAAATTATTTGAAAAAGTAACACATTGGTGTTTAGTAAACTAAGAATCATCACATTAAAAGGACTCAACTGATTTTTCATAAAATAAAGAAGGAAATAACTTTTATACAATTTAAAAGGTAGATGACCTACACACATTGTTTGAAGCCAAATTTAAAACTTTGAAGAATACTAGTTACAAAACTTAAGTCTTCCTTTTCCAAAATTGTTTTAGACTTCAAATTTCACTAAAGGAAAGTAATATAATCCTCTCCATTCCTTAACAACTCCAATCGTCCTCCCTAAACAAGATCATGGAAACATAATGAGATGAAAAAAATGTTACACCATAATTTAGGTCACGGGTGGGTTTATGAATGGAGATAAGTTTATGGATAGTTGAGGAACATGAAAAATATTTTTTAATGAAAGAGAGGTAGTGAGATGAATATTACTAGAACTAGGTATGGGATTCTATAAACCATTAGCAATTGTAATGTGATGTGCACCAAATAAAGTGAAATATGAAGTAAAAGAAGAAATGTTAGGAGTCATGTGATCCGAAGCACCAGAGTTAATTATCCAAATATTCTCAGGTACAAAACATGAGGTATTAAAAGAAGATAAACCAAAATTCTTACTAATCATTGCAAGAAAGAAACATGGGTCATCCATAGTGAGAAACACTTATGTTTTAACAGAGAACTTATAAAAGTTGAAGAAACAATCACCCAAATAGCTACGGTTAGAGGAACGAAGGGTAAAATGTACTAGACAAAATGACGTTTGTGATGAGACAAACAACAGTCAAGAAGGCAACACATGACTTTCACATGCCAACGAGAACTTGTGTGGGTCGGGTGGTCCTTGGAAGCTTTCTTGGAGACAAAATTTTTAGGTTTGGCCAATCTTGGTCATGTACTTCGGGTGATGTGATTTCTACAGTTGGTTGGTGGTCCAATAGGTGGCGGATCCACAGAGTTGAGGGAGGCAAATGCATCTCCTCAAATTTCATAAATCCTTTTAATTTTAATAAATTACTATTAATAATATAATTCTTTTTAATTTTTGCGCCCTCTGATCTTAGGGTCTTGGATTCGCCACTAGGTCCAACGATACTAATAGTGATGATAACAGTGGTAGCAATTGTCCCAAAGAAAAAAGATGTCTAACTAAAATGAATGTGTAGACATATGTTGTGATAAAAAATACTACTAGAATTTGAATGTTGCGAAAGGTGGCAAAATTTTAGGTGTGTAGAAGCCAAGACCCTAGAATTAGAGGTTTGATACCAACTTGAATTTCTAAATTATATTTTATCATTGTACATTATAATTTACATATACATATAGTCTAATCTTAATATTTATATAAGATAATATTCTAGATTATTTTTTAATAATAAATTAATAATAAAGATAATGACAAAGAATAACAAATATAATAATAATAATAAGTAATCATGATATTCAAATTAATTCTGCATTATTTTCTAGTAACAATAGAGAGACAATAACTAATAATTAAGAGATATTTTCAATATATATGCATGTCCTTATTTAACAAAATTTTATTTTTGACTAACTCTAGTATTCATATTTTGTACCGTTTATTTTATATTTTTAAATATAATTTTTATTTATAAATAGTAAATTATAAAATGATATCACACTATTTGAAAATAAAAACTCAACACAATTGTAAAAATATAGAATTAATAATAAAACATAATAACCGAACAAAGTAATAGGTATTATATTTTGGATAAATTATATAAATAACTACATATATTTAGAAAATAAAAAATTATAAGTTTAAAATAAGTTAAATAAAAAATATATTTTTTAACAGGTATAAAATATTAGATAAAGCATTAAAAAATATATTATCTTATTTTTTTTAAAGTAATTACTCATTAATTTTATATTTAATTAATAAATTTTATATTAATTATTATGAGTTTATAAATTTTATAGTCTTCTATGTAGACTTTCTTAATCATTTTAAGGATGGAGCATTTCTTGTAGTGATATCTCATTCACAGGTTGGCCTCTGCTGATTTTATTGAATTTGGAGAAAAATATGATGTGAAGGAAGAGTTGAAAGAGCTTAAGAAGACAATTGAATCTATCAATGATGTGCTCCTTGATGCTGACCTCAAACAAGATCAAGTTCGTGTGCGAAATTGGATAATGCACTTCAAAGAAGTACTTCATTGCGCAGATGACTTGTTGGATGACCTTGCTATCGAATTTATGCAACACAAATTGGATGCAGGACATGGAAAACAAGAAAACAAGGTACTTTATTCCTTTTCATCTTCAAATCGAATTGATTTTCCCATTCAAATGGCTGAAGAAATTAAAAAAACACGAGAAAGTTTTGATGCTGTAGTAAAAGGCATGTATAAATTGAATTTATGCCCAAGATCTATTGTGGTCAAGCAAACTGATAGTGGATGGAGGGAAACATGTTCTTTTGTGTTAGAGACAGATATCATTGGAAGAGATGACACTAAAAAGGAGATTATTAGTCTGTTGAGACATCATCATGAAAACCAAAAAGTTTCTGTGATTGCCATTGTTGGCCTTGGTGGTCTGGGGAAGACAGCTCTTGCACAATTGGTGTATAATGACTTGGAAGTGCAGAATTCTTTTGAAAGGAAAATGTGGGTGTGTGTCTCTGATAACTTTGATGTCAAAAATATTCTGAAGAAAATATTAGAATCAATTACTGATAGCCAAAGACAAGACCAATCGTTAGAGAAGTTGCAAAGAGAGCTTCATAAAAATTTAAGCGGTAAGAAATATTTGTTGGTCCTGGATGACATTTGGAATGAGAGGCATGACAAATGGGCTGAGGTGAGAAAGTACTTGATGTGTGGTGCTCAGGATAGCAAGATTTTAGTGACAACTCGAAGTGAAAATGTAGCAAAGACAATGAGTTGTAGCACGTCCTATCCTTTGAGAGGTTTGACTGATGAGGCATCTTGGAGTTTGTTGAAGAACATTGCATTTGAGGATGATTCCAAAGGAGTGAATCAAAATCTAGAATCAACGGGGAAAGAAATAGCCAAAAAATGTAAAGGGGTTCCACTGGCAGTTAAAGCGCTGGGAGGCCTGTTACAAGGACAAAATGAACAAAGTGAATGGGAGAAGGTTTTACGTGGTGACTTCTGGAAATTATGTGAAGAGCAAACTAGTATCATGCCAATTCTAAAACTCAGTTACGAAAACTTGTCCCCAAAAATGAGACAATGTTTTGCTTATTGCTCTTTATATCCCAAAGATTCAAGAATTTCAAAGAATGAGTTGATTCAGTTATGGATGGCACAGGGTTACCTTATATGTTCAACTAAAGAGCAGCACGTGGAAGATATTGGTAACCAATTTGTAAAGATTTTTTTGGTGAACTCAATTTTTCAAGATGCACTGAGTGATGAATATGGTGAGATTATTAGTTTCCAAATGCACGATTTAATGCATGATCTTGCACTACTTGTTGCTGGCAATGATTGCTGTTACTTGGATAGTAAGGCGGAAAAAGTTGAAGGCAGTCCCGTGCACGTATCACTGGAATCTTATAAGACCATTCATTTGTTGAAATCATTAGACCCGAGCAGACTGCGAACTTTGATTTTGCCAAATGTCTTTCACAAAGAAGAATACTTGTCGGTTATTACGAACTTCAAATACTTACGTGTCCTGAAGATGCAGACATTTTGGGCTTTTGATCTCTCGGATTCCATTGAAAATTTGAAGCATTTAAGATACCTTGCTTTGGGAAAACGAACAAGTGTTCCCAGATCTATGAGCAATCTTATTTTCCTACAAACATTAAAATTGTGGAATTGCAAAGAAGAATCATTTTCCGAAGTGGTCACAAAATTAGTCAATCTGAGATGGCTTGAGGTTCATGATTATGACTCATTGAGTGAGATGGCAGTTGGGTGGGGAAAATTATCTTCGTTGCAATTCTTACCCATCTTTGTCGTGAGAGATAGCCAAGAAACAGTAAGTGGCACACTAAATGAATTGAAGGACTTAAACCTAAGAGGCAAATTAGAAATTAAGCATCTCCGTCGTGTTAGAGACGTGGCTCTGGAATCACTTGATGTAAATTTAAAAGGAAAACAGTTTCTTCAGTCCTTGACACTACATTGGAGTTCCCCTGATGATGACTTCTGTGACGGTGAAGACAACCGTAACAGTGACAGCTTCCAATTGTTAGAAAACCTTCAGCCTCATCTTAATCTAAAACAATTGAAGGTGATTTATTATCCAGGCGTGCATTTCCCAACTTGGCTTTCTCTTCTCACAAATGTTGTTCACATCACTCTCGTTGAGTTTGATAATTGTCGCTGTCTCCCACCGTTGGAACGTCTCCCGTCACTGAAGTCACTTGAGATAGAAAGTCTTGAAGAATTGGAATACATAGATCTTGATGAAGATGATTGTGCAGTAACCTTCTTCCCCTCTTTGGAGAGCCTCAAATTAGAGTTTTGCTCTAATCTCAGGGGATGGCGGAGGCGGGGAGTTGATATAAATGAGAATTCACATAATCTCTCCTTACCTCTTTCATTTCCTCGTCTTTCTCATCTAGATGTCTCTCTCTGTCCAAATTTGACTTGCATGCCAACTTTTCCAAAAGTTAAGGATTTAGAGTGGCTTAGATCAAGTGCAGAGCCATTAATAGCAACACTAAACTCAACAGTGTCAACATGTTCAGCTGACTCATCTTCGTCAGCTGCTCCTCTTTCTATGCTCGAAGGATTTAGGATTTCTGATCCTACCAAGTTACCAAAGGGTTGGATGCAAAATCTGACTTCTCTCGAGTCTCTTGAAATTAGATGGTATGAAAATGCAACACTCAAGGAATTTGGGACTGGGTTTAAGGACGACACCAACTGCCTTCCTTCTCTACGACAAATTTCATTCTATGAGTGTAAAAACCTAAAGGCTTTGCCAGATTGGATTTGCAACCTCTCATCGGTTCACCATATCAAGATCTCATACTGCCGAGAATTGGCATCGCTGCCCGAAGGAATGAGTCGTCTTACCAACTTAAAGATCTTTGAGGTTATGAGTTGCCCCCTCTTACTTAAAGAATGCCGAAGAGAGAAAAGTGCTGTTAGTAGCCAAATCGCACACATCCCACAAATTATCCTTCTTGATTCCATCAAAAAGGTACTAATGCCCTTTTCTATGGTTTAGTATAAACCTCGTGTAACTCAACAATTATTGCGCCTATTTCTTTTGCTAATAAAATACTTCTAACTAGTTTTTGAGTTAATGTTCATTTGTTTCAAAGATAAATTGAAATTATCCTAATAATATTAATTTTAAATGATTAAACAATATCAGAGTCGGTGTTTAAATTGATATAAACCATCGTATATTTAATGCTAATAAGTTTTTTCTTCCTTGCACTGATATTATTAAAAAATATAATTTTTAAATTAAAATTAAAATGTTACATAATTTAATAAATTTTATAAGTAAATATTTAATTATTAATAATAAATATTTTATTATATTAATGAGATTAAATTAAAGAGAATATTTTATAAATTAAAACTAAGTTCAATTATTCATGACATAAGATAATAAGTTGTTACTTTATTAATTGATATTTTATCTGCATGCTCAAGTTTTATTTATCATGTTTTTTATTGTATAATTTTAAATTTATTTGCTAAAATAATGCACATTAACTTTCTTTTTCTTTATTGTTTTCGTTGCAGAGATAGTTAGAGATAAAGAGTAGACATATTTGAGTTTACGAGCATTATGTTGGCCAGCATAATGGAGCAACTTCTTTCTGGAAAAAGTCATAAGAACTTAATTTCTTCCTTAGTGTTTGTGCGATGCCAAGTTGGATCCTCATATTTTAAAAATGCCATGAGTTTATAGTTTTCAAGATAATAGATAGAAAATATTTGTGTGAGTATAGTATTTAATCAATTTCTTTTGCACAGTAATAACATATTTCTTTAATTGGTAACTTTTTTAATCCATATGTTCAATATGTATGCCATGTTCTATAACATGTACTTAGTTGTTAAAAAGGTATTGATGTTCTTAATTTTACTTGTAGCTAACTTTTGAGAGGACATTAATGTTCTTGGTCGTATTGATCACTGTGTATCTTCTATCTTCTATATATATATATGATACCATTACTGGCCGGGAGCCTCTTATATCATAACCCAGAAAGAAACTATCAGCACTTTCTAATACTTTGAACAAACCTGTATGCATTTTTCTTGTACTCATGTTGATCACTTTTCCTAAATTATAATAAAGAGGACCGTAGCAACAGGATCTTTCACCTAGAAATGTTCTGATGCACAGGATCCATTAAAATGGCAAGTGCAGAGCATACTTCTTTCTAGTCAGGGACTAGAGGATAGTCATTATAAACAAAGCTTTCAGAGAGAGAAACTTAGAAACAACTCATGATATATGAAACACACAATTTTTATTTCAATCTAATCTGCCTTCAAATGGCATGAGCTCCTCCTTATATAGAGGATGGACAACAGATATAATAATTACATTCGATAGGTTTGGATAAGATTCCAATCCTTTTACAAAGTAGCTTTACACAAGCATATAAAAGAAAAAACTTTAAGTACATTTGAGTCACACAAAAAACATAATACATAAAGACGCTTTTTTACATAAAGGTACTTTATGTGAGATTCTTCAGTCCTTGAAGATGGGCTCGTGACTTGGCGACATATTAGGATCATGCAAAGATTCTTCATCTTTAATTATGACATGGCTAGTTGTTTCCCAATTTCCAAAAGTAATACTGGAACAGGTCACTAGTGGACTTATTTGTTGAATTTTATTCCATATAGATGGATTATCATTATCAGAAGGGCAAATTATGTCCATTGCTTTCAACTTAGAACACGTAGATTTCACCTTAAGCATTTCTTCTTGGGCTCAATTTTCAACATGAAGGTGAATATTTAGATCTGCCTGAATAAAAGGTGGTCTGTTTGGTTGAGATATTTCCTTGAGATTTGGATAAGTATTCCAAACCCTGACCTGATTCTGAGTATAAAGTAATTTTGTAACAGGATGTTCAAAATAAGGTCTGTGAATGCTTACCACCGTTACATGTTCTGGAGTCTCAGTTGGAGACAGATTAATTTCCTTCCATATGCTGAGTCTTTGCATTTCAGTCTGAACATCTTTTTTCCAGTTATGAATAGGTTGATACCAAGATAGAAACTTCCATATCAATGTTGACTGATTTCAAGGATCATTGAGAAACTGAAACATACTGAATATAGGAAAAACTATGGGATAATGGAATAAAAGAGTAGCATACCAGAGATACCATACATCTTCTTCAATTAAGGAAAAATCCATTAATAAAGCAAAGATGTTTAGGTATGGTGTATCAAGTTGAAACCAGGTAGGTTTTGGTTTAGCACCATGGTTATGAAGGGAAAGAGCCAAATAATGGAACATATGATTTCTGGCAAAATCTTTAATGTATTCCACTGTAATGACTCCATCATTTCTCATGTCAGGAGGAAACATAGGGAGAGGATTGTGTCTAGTACTTGTACTAGCTTCGGCAATGTTAAGCGGGAAGATTAATGGGTATGTATTCAGTGAAGTAACAATGGCAACAGGCTTTTTTGGTCTAGATAAAAGATCTGGAACAACATTTTTTTCTCCTTTGATATGTTTTACAGTAAAATTATACTTGGAGAACCAATTCTTTAGTCTGAGAACCTGAGGATCAGGTGTCATTTTGTTCTTGAAATCAAGCAATGCAGGAAAAGCAGAGTTATCCATATGGACCTCAAAATTATGACCTCTGAGATAGAAGTCAAATTTTTGAATACCATTTTTGACTACTAGAGCTTCTTTATAGGTTGTGTGATAATGCTTCTCAGATTCTTTGAATTGTCCACTAGCATGCCCACAATAAGCCTTTTTTCCATTAATTTCTTCAAGTAGAACAGCTCCCCAATAATGATCACTAGCATCTGTTTGCAAGATTCTTTTTCCATTACCAGGAATCTTCAATGGAGGAGGATTATGGGCTATCTTCTTCAGATGATGGACAACTTCAGTCTGTTCATTACTCCATGGTGGAGGAATTTTTCTCAATAATTTTGACAGAGGACTGGTGTATTTGGCTGCATTAGGAATGAAATCCCTAATATAATTCAGTACACCAAGAAATTGTTGGATTTGTTTGACTGTGAAATTTTCATCAGGAAAGTTCAGAAGTTCTTCTGCAATGTGGGCTGTGGTTGATAATTTCCCTGAGAAAAATGTATTCCCAGAAAATCTATCTGGGTTTGGGCTAACTGAATCTTTTTTTTCTAATAACATAATCCCATGATCATTAGCAAGGTTAAAAAAAATACATTATCTATAAAACTTATAAAATATTCTTTTATTAAATGAAATAAGACAAAAAATATTATTTTATTAATATTACAACATAAAAATTCTAAATTTTAGTATTAGCATCATCAAAATTATTTTTTGTTTGTCATAAAAATTATAAAAATATCCATTAAAAATTAATATTTCTTACAAATAAAATCATGTATATAAACTATTATATACATGATTTTATTTATGTCTCATTTATTCTTACTTTAAATTTTATAGGTATTGCATCATTATTGCTTCCAGGTGGTAGAACAGCTCACAGTAGATCTCAAATACCATTAGATCTTTTTGAAGAGAGCACATGTTCAATCAAATAAAACACTCAGCTTGCTCAGTTAATAATTCAAACAGATCTCATTGGTTAGGATGAAATACCAATGATAAATAGATTGGCTTTTGAGGCTCTTGATAGATCCCTCAAAGATATTGTGGGTTATAAATATCTTAACAGTACGTCTAAGCCATTTGGAGGAAAAACAGTAACTCTTGGAAGAGACTTTAGATAAATATTACCCATAATACCAAAAGAACGACGACAAAACATAGTTCAAGCATGCATTAATAAGTCGTATTTGTGGGATCATTGCAAAATTTATATGTTGTCCAGAAGTATGAGAATTTTCAACAACTCCTCTTCAAGTTAGGAAAATTCCTTGGCACATGAATTTAATAAATGACTCATACAAGTTGGAGATAGAAACATACCAACAATTAGTAAAGAAGGAGAAGACATTCCCATGTGGATAAAAATTCCAAGCCAATATCCACTCAAGCCAATGGAGAATTTACTCAAGCAAATTTTTGAAAGCACATATCCAAATTTCCAACAACAAATGCGAGATGAAAAATACCTTCAAGAGAGGGCCATACTTACTCCTTTAAATGATATTGTTGATGATATTAATAATTATATCATAAACATAGTTGAAGGATCAATAAAGTATTACAGAAGCTCTGACGAGATTACAAAGCAACTGATAAAATAACTAAGCAAGAGCTTATGTATCCCGTAGAATTCTTGAATACTTTAAATTTCAATGGATTTCCTCTCCATTGCTTGCAACTCAAAGAAGGAATGTCAATTATGCTACTTAGGAACATCAATCCCGCAATAGGAATGTGCAATAGAACAAGAATCCTTATCATATGTTTAGGAGAGTGGATAATTGAAGCAAAAATAATTACAGGAAGCAACATTGGTGCTAAAATACTAATTCTGCAGATAGTTTTAACAGCAAGTGACCTTTCCTTTTAAGAAGAAAATAATTTCCAATAAAGGTATGTTATGCAATGACAATAAACAAAAGTCAAGGACAATCGTTAAATTATATTGGATTATATTTGTCAAAACCTGTATTTAGTCATAGTCAATTATATGTTGCATTGTCTAGAGTAACGTCAGTAAAAGGAATAAAAATCCTTATTATTGAAGAGTATGACAAATATATAAAATATACAAAAAATATTGTACATAAGAAAATATTTCATAATCTTTTTCAATGTAATTATATTTAATATAATAAATTTTTTATTATATTTTAATATTTTTATATTTAAATTATATATTTTATATTTTAAAATAAATTAATTTAATAAAAATAAAACAAATCCATGCGACGCACTGGCATATTTACTAGTTTTACATTAAATTTGATCTACAAGTGCAATTTTCCACTCCTAGGAGCTCAATGCTATTCTTTATAAGTTGTTGTTAGTGTTTCAGCTTATAAATTCTTTTTGGACTTCCTTTTTATTTTTCTGTAATTTTGAGTTAGTTCTTTATTATTTTCTATGTGAAAATAAATTTAATGCTTTTATTCATTAACTTGTTATATAATACACGATTGAATATTTGATGTGATGAAGATTACTTTTATATCAAACTCACTCACAGAAATATTATTATAAATTTTTTAAATTAAAACTCAAATTTCAAAAATGCTATTTTTTCACCCACAACGCGACAATGTTCTTAATAAATATAAATCATTATACATAATAAATAAATAAATAAATAAATAGGTTGAAATTGATTTGACATGATATATCGATTGTACTGATAACTATACAAAAATTGCTAATTAATCTCCGCCCATTGCAACTTACATTAATAGGTCATAGCTTGGGTATGGTACACAGGTTTAAAAACGTGTGTACCTGTAATATTACCGGCTATTTTTATGTTGTATAAAACTAAAAACTGTAAGAATGCAAATTTTCACATCAAACTATGTTTTAATTAAAAGGATAGTTATTACGATATTCATTTTTGTCACCATTGTAAATGTTTTCTCATAGTCAATGTGTGTATTTTTTTAACTAATCTAGCTTTGTATCAACCAAGAGTACAATCTGATCAATATTCAATTGTCTAGATCAATTTGCAATCCCCCATATGATAATAGCAGTAAAAGTGAATTTTGAACAACTCTATATTGCTAAAAAGAAAAAGTTAAAGAAGACTTATAAAGGTAAAACACCTCTATTATTATGTGTTACAACTATTATTTCAGTGGTAAAATTGCTACTTTAATCACAAATAAGTAACATTAAGAAATAAAAATCACCCCAATAACATGCAACAATTGTAATTATGCAAGGGCCTTCTGATTCAAAGGAGTTGCACATGTACCATCAATGCAAAGCAAAATACCTTTCCCATGGCAAAGCTCTAAAAATATAACTTAATGCAAACAGTTCTAAGGAGTGGATTAGTAGAAGACTCAATGAAAAATAAACAGACCCATAATTTAGGATAATAGCTTACGAAATCTGGACCATCAATTAATTTCATTATATCAGAGAAATCTCAAAAAGGTAAAACATAAAAAGTAATATGTTTATATTACGTGCCTCTATTAATCATTACATTTCCAAAGCATGACTTTTATTGCTTTTTGGCATTGTAATGGTATTATTAAAAAATATATTTTAAATAAAATTAAAATATTTCATAAATTAATGAATTTAAAATATTTATAGTTTTAATATGTAAAACTGCAGAAGATATACTCAATGCAAAATCACGTTGTTATCCATATGACCATACGATGCTAGTTTAAGTTCACCAATGACAAATTCTTACACACTGTAGTTATTCCTCTACTGACTCCTCATCTACTGATATAATGTTCCTTCAGATGATGATTATACAGATTATTCATGATAAAAATTTGTATGTTATTTTTAAATGTATTTATTTGGATGCTTTTGTCTTCATTTGTAATAACATTTAAATTTTATATTTTATAAATCATTTTTAAATGTTTAGATGCCCAATTTATAGTTTTTATTATGTTTATAAATTGTGATAATCAAGAACAGAAAGAAATAACTATTTATATAAACAAAAAATACCAGTAATAGTAAAATATATCACAGACGGATTACAGACAGACAAATTTTTTTATCTGTAATTCTTTACCGATGAGGATATTACAAACGGTTTATGTCCGTTTGTAATGGAAAAAACCGTCTGTAATGGTCTAAAAATTTGTTTGTAAATCCGTCTGTATATACAGACTTTTTAGTAGTGAGTTGGGCTAGCATTATCTCTATCTCGCCTGGGGAATGCTCTCCTAGCCTGGGCGAGCATCTCCTCGCCTGGGCGAGATAGCTCTGCAACCTCCTTTCTCTGCACGAAGCATCTCGCTTGGGCGAGACTCACATCGCCTAAGCGAGATCTCCTGCACCAAAACTCCTCAAAAAATCATCCAAACTCCCCTATAAACACATTCCAACATTAATTAACATTAAACACACATAAATTACAGAAAAGTGAAAAGAGGATGTTACACATGTCATATCATTTCATTTCATACATAAAACTCTTTCTTAATTTGAGAATGGTATAATACTTTTTATTAACAACATAATTTCACCTATTCCAACATGCATCAGTCATCAACAAACATTCATATTTATAGTATCATATCCATCTAATACAAAAAATCCTCAAACAATTTCACACTACACAGATCGATACAATGTGCTGGAGATCGAACACCTCTGGACTCAGCCCAATCATACAATTCAACATACACACTTTCTCAACATTAATAAGATCGCATATCCTAAAGTTCAATATTACTTGTTCATACATAAATAATAGTAAAATCTCTAAAAAAATTCCTCAAAAGCTTAGTTACTCATCTTTTCACTATAAAATTTTATCTAAATGATCTTTGGATTAAATTATTGGTTCCTCATACCTAAAATTTCATTTGTAGTAATACAATTTAGAGAATCATTGAGGTTCTATTACCCAAAACAAAATACTGAGGTTAGGGTTCAGAAGGGGGTTTTAGTGTCAAACTCTCTATCCTACATATTAGACTTTTAAGAAAACATTAGTATTTTAAGGTCCCAATAGAAACTTAGCATTTTCAAACTAAAATACCAAGAAGGAGTTAGGGTTTGAGATTAACTCCCCTTACCTGGAAATGGATCTTATAGATTGAGTTTTCCTAGAGATCTAAGGAAGAGGCACAACGTCCCGGTAGAGAATATCGGCTTGAGGGTGAAGGTTCCCCCTAAGTATTGCACAACATACACTTTAGACCGAATAGAATTGAGAAATAAGAATGAAGTTGGAGAACAAAGCTCTAAGAAACTTGGATTTGAATGGTTAAACTCCCAAGCTTGGATTTGAAGAAAGATTGAAGTTTAAAAGAGGATTTCTAAGAAGAGAGAGTGAGAGATTAGAGAGAATGTGAGAGAGATTGGGATTTTGGATTGTAATCCAAGTTTCCTAGGTTGAATGCCCTTAAATACCCCTTAACTCGTGATATTATCGCTACAGCGAGTTAATTCTCGTTACAAATAGAGATTCTCGCTACAACGAGCTCTCTTTTCTCTACAGCGAAAAAACCAGATAGAATTTTTCTTTATTGTCTGTCATTTACAGCGAGAATTTCTCGCTGTAGTGAGAAATTTTGGCTATAGCGAAAGCGTATCAGAAAGCCTGATTCTGAACGCTCTTTCTTGCTACAACAAGAGATATCTCGCTACAGCAAGATACCCTGAACCCAAAACTCATATTTTTTTATATAAGGGCCACAAAATTGAGGGTGTTACATATTCAAGTTTTATTAATCTTATTTAAACAATTTTTTATTAAAATTATTTTATAAATAAAACCGCAAATTTTTAAATAAATTACAAAAATGTGTTATAAAAATTATTATATTAGAATTGTAAGTGTGGATTATTCATCTTTGTAAATATTTGTTTATCAAATTATTTACATAAAAATAATTTATTTTTCCTTTCTATTAATATTTGAATTAAAAAATATTAAATTAAATTATATTCATAAATTTATTAATTGAAACTTATTTAAATAAACAATTTAATTGGATGCTTATCTTAAAAAATTATTATATGAGAGTTTATGATATGGATTTGATTACAAAGTTGACTAAAAAAAATTAAAAACTTATTTGATATGTTATGATAAAAAATTATTAAAATAGGAATAAAAAAGTATAAAAATTATAAATTATTTTCAAAAGCTTTTTATACCTCTCAAAATGTCTCATAAAATAAAAAATTTATAAAATGGAAGAATAAAGTAAATTGCACTTACAATTCTTATAAAAAATTGTTAAAGTTTAATTTCTAATATCTTAAAGGAATACAATATTTATAATTTTCTGTTTAACTCATAATTTATATCTTTACTCTTTTTAAACAAAAATTATATATTTACCGTCACGTTAGCTTAAATTAAAATGGCAAGAATATTCCAGATGAGTTTAGGATGTGTAATCACTGTACTCATTGATCGTTGAATTTTGTGATGAGTTGGACTCACATGTCTAGGCATTTTTTATCAGCAATTTTTCCCTTATTAAATTTAAATGGAAAACCTCACATAATAAATTTAATGCATCGAGGCCGCTTCCAATCTTGAATGCTTCTTCCTCGAAATAAAACAAATACAACTTATTTTTTAGTATATTTTTAAAAAATTAATTCATAAGATATGTATTTCATTTTTTAAAAATTAATAACAAATATTTTTATTTTACAAATGTGGTAGCACCTACCGCTTTATTATATATCTGTATTATTAGATTAAAGATTAGATCAAAGCATTGAATTAATAATTATGGGTTGACTGACTCTACTGATTATATTTGATCCTCTTGCTGGGTACATATGCAAATGGGGTTTTTGCTTCCTCCATTCCCAATCTCAAAAGTTTGAAACATCAAGTGGTCTTTTGAAGTCTTCTCTGATCATTCTGACGATGGCTGAACAAATTCCATTTGCTGTTACTTCAAATCTCATTCACAGGTTCGTTTTCGCACCTTTTCTTCAACTTTAACTCTATTTAGCGTACCTTTCCATTGCTGTTCCAAGGCTTTCACTCTCAAGGTTAGTTTCTAACTTTTTGTTTTTAAAGATAATTAGTATTTGAAGTTTGTTTACCGATTTATTATTTTGTAATTTCTACTTTTTTACCGAATTATATTTTAACTGAAATCAAAGCAAAAAAGTAATCGACTTGATTCGTAAAACAAACATAGATCATATCTAAATTTTTTAATAATCATTAAAAAATATTCAATAAGGATATGCATATTATTATATTACCCTCATTTTTATTTTAAAATTATAAAACCTCTTCTCATAAAATTTTATTTAAATTGGATTACATTTTAATCTATTTTAAGGTTTCGCAAAACATTATTAAACAATTGTATGTCCTAATTTTATTTTTATTTTTTACTTATAGACTAATCTTCATTTATATGTCTTATTTTTATTTTTTTTTGTATTTTACCGTTTTTTGTTAAACTTGTAAGTCATTTATATCTTGGACATTTTCATCAAAGATAAGAATACTTAGTTTTCTTTCATTATTTGTTGCTAAGACAAGTTTTCTTTCATTATTTGTTGCTAAGACAAGTCTTTAAAACTTTTTTTTTTGTTATAAAGTTTTTAAAACTTTTATAAGCACAAGTATTAACTATTTCATGAAAATTGCATTAAGCTTGTTCAGCTTTTTGAAAAATTATCAAAAGAGTGTAAAATTAATTAAAAAATTATTTTAACAAGAAACTTTCAAATAGCTATTTAATAATTCTTTAATGAAAAATTTAAAAGGGATTAAATTGTGATGCATTTTAATTTTGTAATTAATTTTTAAAAAAATTCAATAAGGATATGTATATTATTATATTACCCTCACTTCTATTTTAAAATTATAAAACCTCTTCTCATAAAAAAATATTGAGAATTTTATTTTATTTTTTACTTATAGACTAATCTTCATTTATATGTCTTATTTTTTTTAGTATTTTACCTTTTTTTTTAATATGTTAAACTTTTAAGTCATTTATATTTTATACATTTTCATTTATGATTCTAATAAAATCTTGTACACTATGACAGAAAGGAGATTTAAGAACGATTTTATCTGAACTTAGAGAACGGTTATATGTACATTAAAATTTTGCATTATTGAATGTTTTATATTTAAAAAAGCGGTTATTTAACTGTTCTTAAAAATTTACTTTAGAGACCAGTTGTTCTCGTAACTCGTAACTGCACTTTTATAAGTATATTTATAAGAGCGATTGTCGTGGAACTATTTTCAGAAGTTTTAACACAGATAGTGGTATAAGCACATTAGCTCTCTTATCTCACGCATTTGAAAACAGTCACACGTTAACTACTCTTTAAAGTAGACTTTTAAGAGTAATTTTTGGTTAATCGCTCTATAAAGTAAACTTGTAAGACATATCTTACACATTTTCACAAAAAAAAAAGAATATTTAGCTTTTCATTATTTGTAAGGACAAATGTTTACTATTTCATGAAAAATACATTAAGCTAGTTTAGCTTGTTGAAAAATTAACAAAAAAAAGTGTAAAATTAATTAAATAATTTATTTTAATAAGAAATTTTCATATAGGTATTTAATAATGCTTTAATGAAAAATTTAAATTGTGATGCGTTTTAGTTTTTCAGGAAAGGAAGTTATATAATTTTAAAATAGAAGAGAGATTAGTGTAATATATGCATCTTTTAAGAGAGAAAATTTTAATTTAATATTTTATTTATTTCCTAGAAGATTTTTCTTTTTATTGTTTCTTCTTCATGGTTCTAATATTTTATTAAATATAAATATTGGATTGAATCAAATTATATTATTTATTTTTACAAAAATATTGATAATACTCATTAATTAAACAAATCAAGATAGTAAAAAAAAAATAGTATAATTTGACAAAGTTTGTAAAAAATAGTTAAGATGAATTAATTTGTTAGTCCATATAGATTCTTTGCATTTTTAATTAAGTTCTTATAGTTAAATTTTTTTAATTAAATTGTTATAATTTAATTTTTTAATTAAATTATTAACAATTAATATCATTATATCTCTATCAAATATCAATGAGATGAAATTTTTAATTCACTAACCTATTATTTTATTTGAAATTATCTTTTTTCTAATTATTTTATACAGATAAATTTCTGTAAATAATCAAATCCGGTTATTGATAGGTGATAAAATTAATACTAAATTAAAAACTGACTTTTAAACTATATTTATACTCACTTATTTAATAGGCAACAACTAAAATATTTTAAATTTCAAAATATCATGAATGAAAAAAGATGTTTTGATTTACTCTTAACTCTTAAAGACTCTTAAACATTATTTTAACGAAAAGTTCAAGTTTGGCGTCTAACTTCTTTCATCTGAATTCAAATTTTACACTAGTTTTTTTTTTTATTAATTTTATATAATAAAATAATAAATAATGACTAGAAAATTTACTTTAAACTTATTTGTATCAACATGTAGAGTCCAAATGTTCTAACAAAAACTTAACTTAAAAAATATCTCTCAATAATAATATGATTTATATATATATATGAAAGATAAATAAAAAAATAAAAAATATAATTGTCAAATTATATAAAAATGGCACAGTATTATACTTAACAAATATATAACTATTAATTAATAGAGATATAATTACCATTACCAAGTTTAACACCCTACGTAATTGATTGTCTGAATGAAATACTATGGGTATGCTAAATATAATATTATGCAAGGAGAGTTTTACAGTGAGACTAAATATTATTGGTAAAATACTAAAATTTACTCTTAAAAAATTTAAACAATATCACGTATATGAAATACCATCATCAGACAACATTTTAAATACATATTATTATATTCAATAATAAAGTCTTATATATAATTTATGAGAGTGAATTTTAAGAATGTCTTTAAGAAAATTTTCAAATGACAATGCTTCTAATTTTTTTTATTGTGCCAAGTGATTTTTATTATATTAATTATTTATTTTTTATTTATTAAATTAAATTTTGAAATTTTATAATTTAAATTAATTTTTTATTTACCTAATATAATAAAATATTTTATTAATAATTATAATATTTAAATTTTTAAAATTATAAATTTTTTAAATATTAAAATTATTGTGTAATATATATTTATAATTATTTAATAAAACATTATTTTAATTTAACAATACCGTGCAATTTACCAAAAAAATTAGTCACACTATGGTGTGTAGGTAAGTATTTAAATCTGAAAGAGAAAAATTTTAATTCGATAGCTATTAATATTTAGCAGCTTGAGTTAAGCACCAAGAATTTAGTTGAATCACTTAATTCAGGTAATAAATATTCAAATAGGCTAAGAATGATACTGATAAAATGTGTAATCATTTAAAATCGGCAAATATGAAAATAACTAAATCCTAATATTTTTATTGATATTCTTAACACTCTCACTCAATCTAGTGAATGTGTATCTATCATTCCCAAATTGCATGAAGATCTAGGATTGTTTAGCTACAAATTTTTTAGTGAATATTTGTTAGTAAATCTCTTAAAGAGACATAAATAATAGCCACAAAACCACTATCCAGTTTTTTTGTTAATGAAATATCAATTAATCTCTATTTGTTTTGTCTTATCCTATTTGATAGAATTATGAGCTATGTTGATTGTTGATAGCATACTTGTTATCACACAATAGTTTTATAGAACCAATGAATTTTAATTTAAGGTCATCAAGAGTGATCTTCATACATAGAAGTTCATACACTCCTTGAGCCATAACTTGGAATTTAGCTTCAACATTTAATTTGGCCAACACTTTATTTCTTGCTCTTCCATGCTACTAGATTTTCTCTAAGAAACATACAATATCTTGAAGTGGATCTTCTATCTACAATGAAATCTGCGTAGATAGTGTTTGTATATACCTCTAAGGAGAGAGACTCTCCTATTTTAAAAAGAATGTCTTGTGCAAGACTTCCTTTTAAATTCTGGAGAATCTTGTTTACTACTTGTCAATGTCTTTCAAATTGATCATGATGAATTGGCTAGCAATGCTAACAGCATATGCAATATCATGTCTAGTATGAGATAGGTAGATTAACTTTTCTACTAGTCTTTGGTATTAGGCTTTGCTTTGTTTACAATAGGATTCTCTTCTTCTTCTTTTATTTAACATTGTTTTTCTATGGGTATTCTAATAGCTTTGAATCTTAGTTTTTCAATCTCCTTGAAAATATCTAGAACATATTTTCTCCATGATGTAAAATTTTCATAATTTAAGTAGGCCATCATAATTCATAGAAAGTACTTCAGTCTTCTTAGACCCTCCATCACAAACTGAGCAGCTAGTTTCTCCTTGAAGTTTTGTTTCTTTAACATCACCTATGATGATTATATCACCCATATAAACTAGTAAAAATGTTCGTTTACCATCTTGTGAGTGTTTTTATGAAAAAATATGATCTTCCTAGCATTGTTTGTATCCTAACGACATCATAGCCTAGCCTGAGTAAGTTTCTCAAACCAAGCATGAGGAGATTGCTTAAGCCTATACAAAGCTCTCTTCAATTTGCACTCTTTGTTTCCACCATCAATTGTGTCAAATTCTGGGATAATATCTATATATACTTTCTCCTATGAGTCTCCATGCAATAAATACATAAAGCATATGTGAGATCCAACCAAAGTATGTTGTTAATGAATAGGATAGTTCTCACAGTGTTCATTCTTGTCACTAATGAAAATGTCTCCTCATAGCATTGAAAAAAATACCACTTAGAAGATTGTAGAATGACTCAAAAACAAGAAAGTATATATAGATATTATCATGACTTGAACTTAATTAATTCTCATCCTTTAAGGCTTCATGTACTAACTGAGGAATATTTGAAGAATAAGGCTTCATGTACTGGCTTAGGGATATTTGAAGAATCAATTGCAAAGATTAAACCCCAATACTTCACATAATTATTTAAAAGGATATTCAATAACTTAGGATTAATGGTACTAGAACTTATCTCTAATTTGATTGACTGAAGTTATTGTTAGATCAAGTTGGGTTTTCTTCTCTTCAAGATAGGTGTACTTGTTTTGTTGGCAATGACTCACTTTCTTCTTTGCTTGAGTTAGAGAGAATGAGGAGTAAATTCCTACATATGATAAGGGTTAAGAGGAATAAAATACAAAGACTCGTAAGGATTACTAAACTGAACCTTATGATGACTCTCCCCCTAAAGTTGAGTATGAGTAAAATGACTCTGTCTTATTAAATGTGACATTTATAAAAATGTGGACTCTACAACTCAAAGGATGATAACATTTACAACTTTTTTTTTATTTGGAGTATACTCTATCAAAATAAACTTAACAACATGAGGATTCAAATTATCACAATGTTGACTTTGAACATGAACAAAAGTAATACAACTAAAGACATGAACCTCAAGGTTGTTTAGGACATGAACAAAAGGATGAAAGATAGACATGCACAACATAGGACTAGAACCATTCAAAATATGACTTGACAACTTGTTGATTAAGTAAGCAACTATTAAAATGGGTTCTTGCCAATATGATTTTGACGCTGTCATATAAAATAACAAAGTTTTGGTAACTTTCAAGAGATGTCAAATATTTTATTTTTTTTACAATTCCATTTTGTTTAAGTATTTACACATGTCAATTCATGAAAAATACTCTTTTCTTGTAGAAACTAAAACAAATTTTAGTTCACATATGCTCGTCCATTATCTACTCATAAACGTTTAATTGCTTGTTCAAATTGAGTTTGAATTAAGTAATAATAGCTCACAAATAGTTGACTCACTCCTATTTTATCCTGTATAAAAAAGGTCCATGTCACAAGTATGTAATCATCAGTAAAGGATACAAATCATTTAACACCATAAAAATTAGCAATAGGAGCAGGTCTCTATACATAAAAATGAATAAGATTGAAAGTTGTATTACTTTTTTTAAAAAAATTATTTGGAAAAGTAACACAATGGTGTTTAGCAAACAGACAAACATCACATTAAAATGACTCAATTGATTTTTCATAAAATAAAGAAGGAATAAAATGACTCAATTGATTTTTCATAAAATAAAGAAGGAAATATATATACTCTTATATAATCTAAAAGGTAAATGACCTAGACACCTTTTTTGAAGCCAAATTTGAGACCTTGAAGAATACTAGCTACAAAACTTAACTCTTCCTCTTTGAAAATTGTTTTAGACTTCAAATTTCACTAAAGGAAAGTAATATAATCCTCTCTATTCCTTAGCAACTCCAATCATCCTCCCTAAACAAGATCATGGAAATATTATGCGATGAAAAAATTGTTAACACCATAATTTAGATCATGGGTGAGTTTATGAATGGAGATAAGTTTATGAACATTTAGGAACATGAAGAATATTTTTTAATGAAAGAGAGGTAGTGAGATGAATATTACTAGAACTAGGTATGGGATTCTATAAACCATTAGCAATTGTAATGTGATGTGCACCAAATAAAGTGAAATATGAAGTAAAAGAAGAAATGTTAGGAGTCATGTGATCGGAAGCACCAGAGTTAATTATCAAAATATTCTCAAGTACAAAACATGAGGTATTAAAAGAAGATAAACCAAATTTCTTACTAGTCATTGCAAGAAAGAAACATGGGTCATCCATAGTGAGAAACACTTATGTTTTAACAGAGAACTTATAAAAGTTGAAGAAACAATCACCCAAATAGCTACGGTTAGAGGAACGAAGGGTGACAAAATGACATTTGTGGCAAGACAAACAACAGTCAAGAAGGCAACACATGACTTTCACATGCCAAGGAGAACTTGTGTGGTGTAGTGGTCCTTGGAGGCTTTCTTGGAGACAAATTGGCTCAGAAACCAGTAAGGGAAAGTGACCAAGTAGTGCTTAGAACTCTCAAATAGGACAAGAGAGAACTAGAGCTTGAAACTCTTAGTAGAGAATGAGAATTTGGTTATTCAACTTGATGCTAAAATGAGGAGTACAATGGGGTATTTATAGTATTATAAGGATGGTTCTAGAACATAAATTATTTTATAGTAGATATTAAATAAGATAATTCTAGATTAGAGATGTTTCTAGAGAATGGATAAGTCGAGAGTAAGGATATTTCTAAACTAGAGATGTTTCTAGATATTGAGCCATATTGTTAGGGATGTTTCTAGATATTGGGCCATATTGCTAGGGATGTTCCTAGATATTGGGCCATACTCCCCTAGTTGGAAAAGACTCGTCCTCAAGTCTAAGTATTATCTTCATAGTAAGGCAATAGATCTGTAACGTTGAATGTAGCAGAAACTCCGTATGACTCAGGCATTTCTATCTTATAAGTATTGTCATTGATCTTCTGTACTACTCGAAATTGTCCATCTGCTCTTGGAGACAATTTAGCATTTTGCTGCTTTAGAAATCTATCCTTCCGCAGATGAATCCATGTTATTTAACATCTACTATAAAATAATCTATGTTCTAGAACCATCCTTATAATACTATAAATACCCCATTATACTCCTCATTTTAGCATCAAGTTGAATAACCAAATTTTCATTCTCTACTAAGAGTTTTAAGCTCTAGTTCTCTCTTGTCCTATTTGAGAGTTCTAAGCACTACTTGGTCACTTTTCCTTACTGGTTTCTGAGCCACAAACTTTTTAGGTTAGGCCAATCTTTTGGTCATGCTCTTGGGACGATGTAATTTCTAGAGTTGGTTGGTTGTCCAACGATACTAATGATAGTGGTAGCAATTGTCATAAAGGAAAAAAGATGTCTAACTACAATGAATGTGTAGACGTATATTGTAATAAAAAAAGCTACTAGAATTTGGATGTTGCGATAAAGATAGCAATTTTTGGTGTGCGGAAGCCAAGACCCTGTCATTAGAAGTTTTGATACCAACTTGAAATTCTAAGTTGCATCCTGTCATTATACATTATAGTTTACATAAATACATAGGAGTCTAATCTTAATATTTACATAAGATAATATTCTAAATTATCTTCTAATAATGATAAAGATAATGACAAAGAATTACAAAGACAATAATAATAATAATTAATCATAATAAATTCTAGATTATCTTCCTGTGACGATCGAGATAATGACAATAACTAATAATTAGGAGATATTTTAACCAACTCTAGTATTCGTATTTTATATCGTTTATCTTATATTTTTTAAATATAATTTTTATTTATAAATATTAAATTATAAAATAATATTACACTAATTGAAAATAAAAACTCAACACAACCGTTAAAGTATAGAAACAAGAATAAAACATATAATAACCAAACAAAGTAATAGATATTATATTTTGGATAAATTATAGAATAATTACATATATTTAAAAAAATAAAAGATTCTAAGTTTAAAATAAATTAAATAAAAAAATATTTTTTAACATTTGTAAAATATTTTATAAAGTATTAAAAAATATATTATCTTGATTTTTTCTTTAAATTAATTAATAATTTTATATTTAATTTTAATTAATAAATTTTATATTAATTATTATGAGTTTATAAATTTTATAACCTTATATGTCGATTTTCAATCGTTTTAAAATTGGCTAAGTCACTTCACATCTCATTCACAGGTTGGCCTCCTCTGATCTTATAGAATTTGGAGAACAGTATGATGTGAAGGAAGAGTTCGAAAAGCTTAAGAAGACAATTGAATCTATCAATGATGTGCTCCTTGATGCTGACCACAAACAAGAACAAGTTCGTGTGCGAAATTGGATAATGCACTTCAAAGAAGTACTTCATCGCGCAGATGACTTGTTGGATGACCTTGCTATCGAATTTATGCGACACAAATTGGATGCAGGACATGGAAAACAAGTAAACAAGGCACTTTATTCCTATTCATCTTCAAATCGAACTAATTTTCCCATTCAAATGGCTGAAGAAATTAGAGAAACACGAGAAAGTTTTGATGCTGTAGTAGAAGACATGTATAAATTGAATTTATGCCCAAGATCTATTGTGGTCAAGCAAACTGACAGTGGATGGAGAGAAACATGCTCTTATGTATTAGAGACAGATATCATTGGAAGAGATGAGACCAAAAAGGAGATTATTAGTCTGTTGAAACAACCTCATGAAAACCAAGAAGTTTCCGTGGTTGCCATTGTTGGCCTTGGTGGTCTGGGGAAGACAGCTCTTGCACAATTGGTGTATAATGACTTGGAAGTGCAGAATTCTTTTGAAATGCAAATGTGGGTGTGTGTCTCTGATAACTTTGATGTCAAAAATATTCTGAAGAAAATATTAGAATCAATTACTGATAGCCAAAGACAAGACCAATCGTTAGAGAAGTTGCAAAGAGAGCTTCATAAAAATTTAAGTGGTAAGAAATATTTGTTGGTCCTGGATGACATTTGGAATGAGAGACGTGACAAATGGGCTGAGTTGAGAAAGTACTTGATGTGTGGCGCTCAAGATAGCAAGATTTTAGTGACAACTCGAAGTGAAAATGTAGCCAAGACAATGAGTTGTAGCACTTCCTATCCTTTGAGAGGTTTGACAGATGAGGCATCTTGGAGTTTGTTGAAGAACATTGCATTTGAGGATGATTCCAAAGGAGTAAATCAAAATCTAGAATCAACGGGGAAAGAAATAGCCAAAAAATGTAAAGGGGTTCCACTGGCAGTTAAAGCGCTGGGAGGCCTGTTACAAGGACAAAATGAACAAAGTGAATGGGAGAAGGTTTTACGTGGTGACTTCTGGAAATTATGTGAAGAGCAAACTAGTATCATGCCAATTCTAAAACTCAGTTACGAAAACTTGTCCCCAAAAATGAGACAATGTTTTGCTTATTGCTCTTTATATCCCAAAGATTCAAGAATTTCAAAGAATGAGTTGATTCAGTTATGGATGGCACAAGGTTACCTTATATGTTCAACTAAAGAGGAGCACATGGAAGATATTGGTAACCAATTTGTAAATATATTTTTGGTGAACTCAATTTTTCAAGAAGCAAAGAGCGATAAATACGGTGAGATCACTAGTTTCAAAATGCACGATTTAATGCATGATCTTGCAATACTTGTTGCTGGCAATGATTGCTGTTACTTGGACAGTAAGGCGGCAAAAGTTGAAGGCAGTCCCGTGCACGTATCACTGAAATCTTCTAAGGCCATTCGTTTGTTGAAATCATTAGATCCGACCAGGCTGCGAACTTTGATTTTGCCGTATGACTTTAAAGCGGAGAAATATCAGTCGGTTATTGCAAAGTTCAAATACTTGCGTGTCTTGAAGATTGAGAAAGTGTGGGCTTTCGTTCTCTCGGATTCCACTGCAAATTTGAAGCATTTAAGATACCTTGCAATTGTGGGCTTTCGTTCTGTCCTCGAAAATGTTGTTCACATCTCTCTCTTTGGATTTCGTAATTGTCGCTGTCTCCCGCCGTTGGAACATCTCCAGTCACTGAAGTCACTTAAGATAGCAGATCTTTCTGAATTGGAATACATAGATCTTGATGAAGATGATTCTGCAGTAACCTTCTTCCCCTCTTTAGAGAGCCTCAAATTAGAGTGGTGCTCTAGTCTCAGGGGATGGCGGAGGCGGGGAGATGATATCAATGAGAATTCACACAATCTCCCCTTACCTCTTTCATTTCCTCGTCTTTCTCAACTACATGTCTCTTCCTGTCCAAAGTTGACTTGCATGCCAACTTTTCATAAAGTTAAGGATTTAGAGTGGTGTAGATCTAGTGCAGAGCCATTAATAGCAGCACTAAACACAGCAGCGTCAACATGCTCAGATGACTCATCTTCCTCCGCTGCTCCTTTTTCCATGCTCAAACAATTGACGATTTCTCATCTTACGAATTTTCCAAAGGGTTGGATGCAAAATCTGACTTCTCTCGAGTCTCTTCAAATTGGACGGCATGAAAGTGAAACGCTAAAGGAATTTGAAACTGAGTTTAAGGACGACACCAACTGCCTTCCTTCTCTGCTTAAAATCAGCATACAGTTGTGTAAAATAAAGGCTTTGCCAAATTGGGTTTGCAACCTCTCATCGCTTCAGCATATCAGAGTCTCATCTTGCCGAAATTTGTCATCGCTGCCCGAAAGAATGAGTTGTCTTACCAACTTAAAAATCTTTGAGGTCTATCGCTGTCCCCTTTTACTTAAAGAATGCAGAACAGAGACAAGTACTGTTAGTCGCCAAATTGCACACATCCCACGAATTATCCTTCGCTGATTACTCATCATAAAGGTACTGATGCCCTTTTCTATGGTTTAGTATAAACGTGGTGTAACTCCACAATTATTGCGCCTATTTCTTTTGCTAATAAAATACTTCTATCTAGTTTTTGAGTTAATGTTCATTTGTTTCAAAGATAAATTGAAATTATCCTAATAATATTAATGATAAATTATTACTTTATCAATTGATATTTTTATCTTCATGCTCAAGTTTTGTTTATCATGTTTTCTATTATATAATTTTAAATATATTTGTTAAAATAAGGCACATTAACTTTTTTTTCTTTATTATTTTTGTTGTAGAGTTGGTTAAAGATAAAGAGTAGAGATACCTAAGGTGACGAGCATCATAATGGGTACAACTTCTTTCTTGAAAGAAGTCATAAGAACTAAATTCCTTCCTTAAATTGACTTGGTGTTTGTACAATGTAAGTTGGATCATCGTATTTTAAAAATGTTGTGTTTATAGTTTTTTAAGATAATAGATAGAAAATATTTGTGTGAATATAGTATTTAATTTCTTTTGCGCAGTAGTAACATATTTTTTTAGTCGGTAACTCTTTTAATCCATATGTTCAATATGCATGTCTTGTTGTATGACATGCACCTAGTTGTTAAAAGGGTGGTATTGCTGCTCTTAATCGTCCTTGCACCTAACTATTGAGAGGACATTAATGTTCTTAGTCGTACTGATCCCCGTATACTTTACATTAAATTTGATCTACGAGTGCAATTCTCCACTCCAAGAAGCTCACTACTATTATTTATAAGTGGTTAATGTTTGAGCTTATAAATTCTTTTTGGAATTCCTTTTTACTTTTTTGTAATTTTGAGTTAGTCCTTTATTATTTTTCATGTGAGAATAAATTTGATGTTTTTATTCATTATCTTGCTTGTCATATAATACACTATTGAACATTTGATGTGATTAAATGCCACTTAAATAAGATAATAATTAATATTTTTTATAGGACATTATTCTCCAACTAAACTTATATTGAAATCCAATCAAAATGCTTAATGTTCCAAGTCACCTATCACTTATCTATATATATTTTATTAATAACTATTTTAACTTAAAGCAATTGTTTTTTACCTAATTCTTTTTCATTTTAATTTCTTATAAAACATTCAATCCACACACCATCTCTTGCGAATACTTTAAAAATATATGAGATCATTTAAAAATATAATATTTAAAATGAATTAAAAAAGAAAGGTAAATTAATAATTATTTTAAATAATTTTATATTATTTTCAATTATTAAATTACTTTTATATCAAAATCATTCACGGAAATATCATTATAAACTTTTTATAATCTCTAAAGTGTTTAAGTTGTTTCTCATAATCAAATGAAAAATTACATACTATTAGTAAAGAAAAGTTACATACAGTATATTCAAATCTTTTTTTAGAGTATCATTCTATTGCGTGTATTTAATCTAACTGGATTCCAAGGTAGTTTTTCAACTCACTCCAGATTTTGAGATCATGAATCATTTCTCGTAAGGTAGAAACAAGCATTACAATCAAGATAAATACACCCAACTCATGTCAAATGAACAAACATATATAAAAATATCAAAACATTCAGAGTACGAAGATTACATCCAATCTCTAGAGTTTTAGCTGTTCATGACATACATTGCAATAAGAAAATGTAAGGAAAACAAATAGAAATTAGTTTCTCCAATGGTTCTTAATCATTTTTCCAATTCTCGTTCAAGCAAGCCAATTCTCGTTCAAGCGAAAAACAACCAGAACGCAAAGTTGGTTGTAGGATTTCTCGCTCAAATTCTTTAGCCATTTCTCGCACAGATTCCCACTCAAGCGAGCCAATTCTTGCTCAAGCAATCCAATTCCTGCCAGGGCGAGATCCATTCTCACTCAAGCAAGAAAATTAGTAAAAAATCTAGTATGGATATTGCATTTTTTACCCAAGCAAGATAATTCTCGCTCTATCGAGACTTGAAAATCTGGGCAACTTCAACAAATCTGCCTCATCTTCAAAATTTCATAAAAAAGTTATGACCATATATGCATATAAAAGCTTTAGATGTGTAGAATCTAATATAACTAGCATCAATCAAAAATAATATCTGAAAAAAAAGTTATAGCTAAAAGAGTAGAAAAAGGTAAGATTGGCTAAAAATATGAAATTACAACATTCATACAAAACAAGCACAAATCATTTTTGTTAATAAGAAATGGTAAAAACTCTCAAAATAAATGTCCATATTTAAAATTATTTGCACTATTTAATCTTAAGATACCGTTCATTTGAATGGACGAATAAGGTGCTAATACCTTCTCTATTTATAACCACCTCTCGAGCTTGGGACTCTTAAGAATGTTTTTTAATATTTTTTCTTTATAAGAATAAATAAAATTTTGATGGCAGCTCTATTTTTTTTCAAATTAAAACTCAATTTTCAAAAGTGCTATTTTTTCGCCCAAAAAATGACAATGGTCTTGATAAATATAAGTTATTATACATAATAAAAAAATAATTAGGATGAAATTTGATATGCTATATCGATTATACTAATAACTATATAAAAATTGCTAATTAATCTCCGCCCATTGCAACTTACATTAATAGGTCATAGCTTGGGTATGGTACACAGGTTTAAACAATGTGGACCTGTAATATTACCGGCTATTTTTATGTTGTATAAAACTAAAAACTGTAAGAATGCAAATTTTCACATCAAACTATGTTTTAATTAAAAGGATAGTTATTACGATATTCATTTTTGTCACCATTGTAAATGTTTTCTCATAGTCAATGTGTGTATTTTTTTAACTAATCTAGCTTTGTATCAACCAAGAGTACAATCTGATCAATATTCAATTGTCTAGATCAATTTGCAATCCCCCATATGATAATAGCAGTAAAAGTGAATTTTGAACAACTCTATATTGCTAAAAAGAAAAAGTTAAAGAAGACTTATAAAGGTAAAACACCTCTATTATTATGTGTTACAACTATTATTTCAGTGGTAAAATTGCTACTTTAATCACAAATAAGTAACATTAAGAAATAAAAATCACCCCAATAACATGCAACAATTGTAATTATGCAAGGGCCTTCTGATTCAAAGGAGTTGCACATGTACCATCAATGCAAAGCAAAATACCTTTCCCATGGCAAAGCTCTAAAAATATAACTTAATGCAAACAGTTCTAAGGAGTGGATTAGTAGAAGACTCAATGAAAAATAAACAGACCCATAATTTAGGATAATAGCTTACGAAATCTGGACCATCAATTAATTTCATTATATCAGAGAAATCTCAAAAAGGTAAAACATAAAAAGTAATATGTTTATATTACGTGCCTCTATTAATCATTACATTTCCAAAGCATGACTTTTATTGCTTTTTGGCATTGTAATGGTATTATTAAAAAATATATTTTAAATAAAATTAAAATATTTCATAAATTAATGAATTTAAAATATTTATAGTTTTAATATGCAAAACTGCAGAAGATATACTCAATGCAAAATCACGTTGTTATCCATATGACCATACGATGCTAGTTTAAGCTCACCAATGACAAATTCTTGCACACTTTAGTTAGTATAAAATTCAATCATAAAAAAGTACGGATAAGAGAATTAGCCGATAATATGAAAGGAAAAAGGTAATATGCTTTATTTCTGTTACTATTTGAATTTTGAACTCATTAGAAAAATTTCAGGTAAATTAGCATTATTTTCTTGAAAATTCCTTTTTAAAGTAAATTCAGATACAAATTATCAAGTTGGTAGCACTACATTGGCCAAAAAATAACCTTTTATAGCGCTAACTTGAATAGCCGTCAGTAAAAATCGCTTTATGTAATGCAATATAAAAGCAATTAATAGTAAACCATTCTTCAATGGAGGCTTCTGAAAGCTATTCCTGAATAACTGCTATCTAATATAGACTTTTAAAAGTAGTTACAAAAGAACCGCTTTCAGAGGCTTCCAATTTACGAGAGCGGTTGACACGTGAAACTACTTTCAGAAACTTTAGAGAGCAGTTGCCATGTTGAACTGCTTGAAGAAGTATTGATTACAGAGCAGTTTTTACTTAACAGCTCTCTAAAGTTGTATTTCAAATTGAACCCTAGCCCCAAAATCTCGTCATCCCTGTCCTCGTGCTCACTCTATACTCCTAAAATTATATCTGTTCACTGTGTTCTGAGATGGAATTCAATTAATAAAAATATAATTTTTCTGCACTATATTGTTCTTATTCTGATCATTTTTCAAGTGTTTTTGCTGTGTTTAGTTTTCCTTTTTGTTATATGCGTGAAAAAAATAAAAGCAAGACTGCTCTTGTGTTTGATCTGGACATAGACAGAACATTGAGAAGGTTGATAAACAAATTAAGAGCAGGAAATTCAGCAAGCAAAGAGCAAGAATTGGAATCTACTCCTTTTATTCCTAAATCGGAAGAACTTCAAATTCCTTCTCTTACACCACCAACATCTCAAGAGAAGATAATGGCTGAACAGATCATGATGAGAACTTTAGGGGATTATGCACTACCTAACATGCAGCGATACAAATTCTCTATAGTCATACCTACCATATAAGTCAACCATTTTGAAATAAAACTAGCTTTACTTCATTTAGTTTAGCAAGATCAATTTTCTGGTTCAATTTTGGATGACTCTAACTTACATATCTCTAACTTTTTGCAGCTTTGTGACATAATAAGGATGAATGGAGTCAGCGAGGATATAATTAGATTGAGATTATTTCCATTTTCCTTAAGAGATAAAGCAAAGTGCAAGCTGCAAGCTCAACCACAAGGAAGCATAACCACTTGGGCAGACCTTGTCAATAAATTCCTTACCAAGTATTTTTCACCATCTAAAGTTGCCAAATTAAAAGAAGAGATTACATCATTTGTGCAGCAAGAAGGAGAATCTCTATATGAGGCTTGGGAGAGATATAAAGAGTTATTGAGGAAGTGTCCACACCATTGTATACCGGAATGGATGCAGTTAGAAACTTTCTATAATAGAATGAGTCTAGCCACTAGAACTATGATTGATACAGCTACGGGAGGATCATTGAATACAAAATCATTAGAGAAAGCTCAGCAGATTATAGAAATGATGGCTTCATCTATGTATTAAAATTCTAATTCAAGACACTCTACAAGGAGTGGAGGATATGAAATTAAAATTCTTAAGACTTTCTTTGCGCCTAACCAGCTGCAAAACCAAATGTTTTCTGAGCAAATTGTTGCACTAACTCAACAAATAAGCAATATACAGACTGCTCAAATTCAAAACATGCAACTTGTTTGTGATTTTTGTGGAGGAAGTCATGCTAATGATGCATGTGATGCACCTACAACTAAACCTCAAGAGCACATTATTATATGGGAAATTTTCAGAGACAACACCCCTCATTCCCACCTGATTTTTAGTACTCTAATAGTAGAAACCAGCAGTACTATAATTGGAAATCTCAAAATTCTGCTGCAAGAAATTCTAATTCTTTTGTACCTTTTTCTGGTGCAGGTCCAGTAGCACAACAATCCTATTTTCAAGGGAATCCAACCATTCAACCTCAAAGAAATAAAAAATTCTCTAAGCCTATGACTGAAATGAATAAGATGGAGGAAACCATGCTGAAATTTATGAAAGTGACCCAAATAAGCTTCAAGAACCAAGAATCTTTCATGAAAAAGCTTGAAACTCAAATTGGACAGTTGACTGAACAATTGTCCATTAGTGTCCATTAGAGAAGAATGGAGATTTCCTAGCAATACAGTTGTCAATCAAAAGAACAATGTTAAGCTGTAATGACTAGGAGTGAGGCTATTATGGGGAGTCCTAAACTTGTCAAAAAGAGAGAAAAATTTCTGTTGAGGAAGAGAAGTTGAAATCTGATTTAGATGAAGGAAAATTCACTTTGCTGAAATGACAGAATTCAGAAAAAAGAAAATTTTTCATGGGCTGTAAGAAAGATAAAAAGGAAAATACTTGAGGAAGCAAATTAATCTATTGATGAGGAGAAATATAGGAGACTTCCTTACCCTCAAAGAATGCTTAATCCAAAACAAGAAAAGTAGTTTGAGAGATTTCTAGATGCCTTCAAGAAACTTCAAATAAATATTCCTTTTGCTAAAGCACTTGAGCAAATGCCTTCCTATGCTAAATTCATGAAGGAGCTATTATCTAAGAAAAGAAAGCTTGAGAATGACAAAACAGTCCCTTTGACTGAAGAATGTAGTGCTATTTTGCAAAGGAAGCTCCCTAAAAAATTATAGGATCTTATGAGTTCTTTTAGCATCCCATGTTCTATTGGAAATTGTATTGTGGAGAAAGCTCTATGTGATCTTGGAGCCAACTTTAATCTCATGCCTCTTGCTATCATGAAGAGACTTAGAATAAAGGAAGTCAAGCCTACTAGCATAACTTTACAGCTTGCGGACAGATCTTACACATATCCTTATGGTATTGTAGAGGATTTTCTAGTTAAGATTGACAAATTTATTTTCCTGTAGATTTTGTAATCTTAGACATGGAAGTGGATGCTGACATCCCTTTAATTTTGGACAGACCATTCTTAGCCACCGGGAGACCTTTAATTGATGTTCAAAAGGGAGAGGTTATGTTGAGAGTGCAGGATGAGAAGGTTATTTTTAATGTATTTGAGGCACTCAAACATCCCAATGATGATGTTACTTATATGAGGGTTGATATTCTAGACTCTACTACTTTCCTTCAGTTTATTGATAATGCTGATGGGATTTCATTGTTAAGGGAAACAATAGTTACAGAGAATTATTTCACTGCTGTAAAAAAAGAATAACACTTGAGAGAATATGTGCAGCAACTAGACACCTTGCTAATTATTCCTTTCTTAGAAAATCCAGCAAAGGAAGAACTGAAAAATGAAATAAAAGAAGAGAAGGCTGAGAAACTTATTAGTAGAAAAAGTTATTAAAGTGTTTATGGATGATTTCTCTATTTTTGGGAATTCTTTTGATAATTGTTTAGCTAATTTGTCCATTGTTTTGCAGAGGTGTCAAGACACCAACCTTATTTTGAATTTGGAAAAATGTCATTTCATGGTCCAAGAGGGAATTGTCCTTGGCCATAGAATTTCTAAAAAAGGAATTGAGGTGGATCAAGCAAAAATAGAAGTTATTAGTAAAATGCCTCCACTAATTAATGTTAAGGAAGTTAGGAGTTTCTTAGGTCATGCAGGCTTTTATAGGAGGTTTATCAAGGATTTTTCAAAAATTGCAAAACCTCTTAGTGATTTACTTGTTAAGGATGCTGACTTTGTGTTTGATGATTCTTGTTTGCATGCATTTTCTGTTTTGAAACAAAACTTATTTCTGCTCCTATTCTTGCAAAACCTGATTGAAATTTACCTTTTATATTAATGTTTGATGCAAGTAATAGTGCAGTAGGTGGAAAGAAAAAGGCTAGAAAACTGCATGTCATTTATTATTCCAGCAAAGTCTTAAATTCTGCACAAGTAAATTACACAACTATTAAAAAGGAACTCCTTGCCATTGTGTTTGCTTTTGATAAATTTATATCATATTTGATGGGATCCAAAGTAATAGTATATAAAAATCATTATGCCCTCAAATATTTGTTGTCTAAGCAAGATGTCAAACCAAAATTATTGAGATGGATTTTGCTGCTGCAAGAGTTTGAATTGGAAATTAGAGATAAAAAGGGAAAGGAGAATAGGGTAGCTGATTATCTGTCCAGACTTCCATTGGATAGTTTAACCTCTAATTCCTTAGACATTAATGGAGAATTTCTAGATGAGAGACTCCTTGCTATGGAAGATCTACCCTGGTTTGCTAACATAGTGTTGTTGAAATTCTGAACACTAGCAAGTGCACTAGAAATTGCAGTAAGTAATGAGTAATTTTTAAGATCAGAATATCATCTCCACAGGGAATTAGGAAATCAATTATCACTTCACAGAACAATAACCATTTGAGCCATACGAATTTGGAAGATTTGTAACATTCAGAAGTCAAGAACAGGAACAATTAAAAAGTAAGAAACTTGCAGTAAAAACAGAGTATGAAAGTTTTGATGAAATGAGATAGGAATGAATAATAGTTAGGAATTTACTTCACAAGAATGTCAATATTGATTCAATTAAACTTCTGAACATTCAAGCAATTGGTTAATTGACAATTAGTATCACATATAACTAGTCAAAGGTTAATCCCTTAACTCATTGACCCTAACAATCCACTAAACCCCCTAATCCCTTAGGTGAAGTTCAATTTCACGTTGCATTAAGACTTAGAACTAAAGGATTGCAGAATTAAGTGTATTTATCCCTAAGAAACCCCTAATTCTGGTAGTTAATTCAAATCTGAGAATCAATTCCAATTTCCATTTGGAAAAGTCCCTCTGTTATTAATCAATTGAATTTTCATTCAAAGAACACATAGAAAGCAGAATTAACAACTCAATTAATCCAAGAACTCAAAGTTCAGAAGCAAAAATTGAATCAATACATCAATTCAAGTTCCATAAACTCCTAACTACGAAGGATTACACAAACATTGTCACAGAGAAAGAGAAAGAATGAGAAAAAGAGAAAAAACTCAGAGAAGTCATCTCCACGAGCTCCAATCCAATCCCTCTTCTTAGAGCATCGAAGTTCAACCCCAATCCTCTCTCTCACTCTCTCTCAACGAGAATCTAACTGAAAAAACATAAAATGAACAAAAGACCCCAAAAATCTGAGCGTTATGGTATTTATAGAAATTCCTGATTTTGTGCGTTGTCACTTTCTTCATAATAGTGGCTATGCAGAGGCTCATGTGATTCTGGAAGTCTAGAACTATCACTTTCGCTGCTAAGAGTTACAACGTAGGAGGTCGAGTTGTTGTGCGTGTTCACTTTTATGAGTAAAAGTGGCTACGAACAACTTGCCAAGTTGAGGACTCTCTGGAACATCCATTTTCATTGATAAAAGTGTTAACGCAGGGTATTCTGAAATTTTGCCTTCTCTGGAATGCTCACTTTTACTGATAAAAGTGGTTACGCCTAGACTTCACTTCTCTTTTGAGCTCTGGAGTGATCACTTTCACTGACAATAGTGATCACGCCCAGCCTGCATTCCATTGTTCTTGTGTTTTGGAGTTCAGAATTGCTATTCTTCCTCTTCCTTTCCATTGATCTTCTATTTCCATGACTTTTGCTCAAATTATTCCTACAAAAACAAGATTAATTTCTTAAGATCTAAGCAGAAATTCCACAAATGATAAAATAACTACATATTAAAAGAAAACCTTCAACCATTATCTTTTTCTAAGTTTTTCTTCTTTTTATAACATTTTTTTCTTATCAAATAGTTTAGAATTACACTAAAATATTAGTCAAGATATGGATTCATCACATAGCAAACTTTAAGGCTACTCAACTCATTCCAAAGAGATTTACTTGGCAGCAAAGAAAAAAATTTCTACATGACAACAAATTCTATATATAGGAAGACCCTTATTTGTTTAAAATTGGGGTGGATGGTCTACTTAGAAGGTGTATCCCATAAAATGAACAAGCTGAGATATTGTGGCATTGTCATAATTCAGAATATGGAGGCCACTAGAGTTGTCAAAAGGGGCAGTCGACCCGACCTGATACGCGTAGCAGGCTCAAACAGGTCGGGCTTAATTAGCCCAAAGTAAAAATGAGCTTATATTTTTACTGCTCAAGCGTTACCCTATGCGGGCTGGCCTGACAACTCAAATAATATTTTTTTCTTTTTCTTATTTTTGTAACATGTCATTTTTTTTACTGTTTTTATTGCTATTTTTAGTGTTTGTAACATACCATGTTAAGCTATTTTTGCAAGAACTTAATAGACCACTCAATTTTTATGTCCAATTTTTGTATTATACTATTTATTTATTTATTTTTTAAGTTGTAAAAGGCCACTGGTTTCTTTTTTTTATTGTTTTTGTAGCAATGCAAAAGTATATAATTTAGACTTGTAATTTTAGGGTTTTGAAACTAAAATATATTCCCTTTCGAACTCCTTAAAACTCAGAGTTTAATCTCAATATATATATATATATATATATATATATATATATATATATATATATATACGGGCTGCCCGAACCCGCACAGGCCAACCCGGTTAAAGCCCTATTGGGTACCGGGCTTATTTAGACCGGGCCAAAATGGCCCAAGGTAATTTCAGGCCTTATTTTTTAGAGCTCAAACCTGCCCACTTAACGGATTTTTTGGGCCTAATCCATCAGGCAAATCCATTTTGCCGGCTCTAGAGGCCACCATGGGAGTTCAAAAACTACTGCAAAAGTCTTACAAGTAGGATTTTTCTTGCCTATACTCTTTAAAAATGCTAAGAATTATGTTGAGAATTGTGATAAGTGCCAAAGGACAGACAACATCTCTAGGAAACATGAGCTGCCATTGACAAATATTTTGGAAGTTAAATTATTTGATGTATGGGGAATTGACTTCATGGTACCTTTTCCCATCTCTTTCTCTCATGAATACATACTTGTGGTAGTTGATTATGTTTCCAAGTGGGTGGAAGCCATTCCAACAAGGACAAATGAAGCCAAGGTGGTAATTTCTTTTATAAGAAGGAACATCTTTGCTAGATTTAGAGTACCCAAATTTTTAATAAGATGGAGGTGCTCATTTCTGTAATAAATATCTTGAATTAGTCTTAGCAAAGTATGGTGTAAAACACAAGGTTTCTACTCCTTACCATCCATAAATAAGTGGACAAGTTGAAGTGTCAAACAAAGAAATTAAACAAATTCTAGAAAAAGTGGTGAATAATTCAAGGAAGGACTGGTCAATGAAGTTAGATGACTCTTTGTGAGCATATAGAACTGCATTTAAGACTCTAATTGGTATGTCACTTTATCAATTAGTCTTTGGAAAGACATGTCATTTACCTTTGGAGCTGGAACATAGAGCCTCTTGGGCCACTAAGTGGCTGAATTTTGACTTGGCTAGAGCTGGAGAGAAGAGGATATTATAGCTACATGAGCTATAGGAATTTAGGCAGCAAGCCTATGAAAATGCTAAGCTATACAAGGAGAGAACCAAGAAGATTCATGATAGATTCATTCTAAAAGGAGACCTGGGCAGCAAGTTTTGTTGTTTAATTCAAGATTGAAATTATTTGCACGAAAGCTTAGATCAAGATGGTCTGGACCTTTTATGATCAAGGAAGTATCTCCCTATAGTGCAATAGGATCAAAAGACAGGGAGAAAGTTCAAGGTCAATGGCCAAAGGCTGAAAGTTTATCATAGAGAGGCATTCACGAAGAACTTTTCTTATGTTAAGTTGGTTTCTCTTGATTGAGAATTATGAGGCGTCAAGCTAGTGACATTAAAAGAGCACTTATGAGAGACAACTTGTAACACCTTATATTTCTTTCCTCAATATATGATAAATTTTCATAAAAATTTAAATGGTAAAGTAAATTTTCTTTTAAAAACTCTATAATAAGAAAGAGACATTGAAATGATATAAGGTTCATAGAGTAAAATTTCATTAATTCATAAGTACTTTAGAAAAATAAAGATTCTAGAATTTTCATCAGCAATAAAGAGAAATAGTAGTTTTACAACTGTTTCAAAAGAATGCTATAGAACTGAAATTATCCATTGCATAACTCAAAATAACTAAGTCCTATAGCAATTCTCATCCATCTATGCACTGTGAGCCTGGTACTATTCGTCCTGGTTTCCTGAAAAATGTTGTGTAAGGGTGAGTCTTTACCCTACCACTCATACATAACACATATTCATCACAAAACACATCTTATCACGATTAAA